GGTATTATTTTTACTATTTGTTTTCCCACTTATAATAATCTTTTAAAATTCATCTGTGCTGCAGCATGTACCAGTACTTCATTGTTTTTTATTGCCAAATTAAGAATGGTTTTTACATTTTCAAAGAATATGTTTTAAATATATATTTTTATTGATTTCAGAGAGGAAGGAAGAGGGAGAGAGAGATAGACACATCAATGATCAGAGAGATAATTACTGATTGGCTGCCTCCTGCACTGCTTGCACTGGGGATTGACCCCGCAAACTGGACAAGTGCCCTGGCTGGGAATCAAACTGTGACCTCCTAGTTCATAGGTCGATGCTCAACCAGTGAGCCACCCAGGTCAGACTCAAAGGATTATATTTAAAAACAAAGATGATGCAGTCCTGGCCTGGTAAGTCAGTTGGTTAGAGCATCGTCTGGGTATACCAACGTTGCAGATTGGATCCTTACTCAGGGCACATACAAAAATCAACTAATGAATGCATAAATAAGTGAAACGACAAATTGATCTCTCTCTCTAAAAAAAAAACCCAAATAAATAAATTAATTAAAAAATGTTTTTTAAAAAAAGATGCAACAAAGACCAAATGTGGCCAGCAAAGCTGAAAATATAAACTATGTTGCTCTTTACAAAAAAGTTTGTAGACACCACCACCACCCTCCAACACTCAAAAGAGATGAAAGATTGGTCATGTACTGAAAATGAGAGAAGCAAAGTAATGGGTACATGCGGATTCATAATACTATTTTCTCTATTTTTATATATGTTTGAAGTTTTCCATAATAAAAAACTAAAAAATTTCCTGATCCTGAGATGCTTCCTTATTAAAGCAGTTCACAGTGCAAAAGAAATCTTAAGGTAAAAATAATGTAAAAAAAAAAAAAAAAAAAGATAAGCTAGAAGTCCTAATAATGAAAATGGTAACAAATCTCTAAAATCATCTTTAAATCAATTAATTTGAAAAAAATTAAATCTTTGCTAAGTTCAATAAAAAAGATGAAGTTGATGAGTAAGCACTATTGTGGACACTAACTCAAAATGTAAACTACGAGGGAGTAAGACTAAAAAATCATAATTTTCCAGGTTTTTTAGTTGTTTTCAAAAGAATTAATAGAAACCTTCCTAATCACAAAGGCTCCCAAGGTCAGTTCACAGGATTCATTTTCAGACTCTTAAAAGGACTGTAGCCCGGCTGGTGTGGCTCAGTGGTTGAGTGTTGACCCATGATCCAAGAGGTCACTGGTTCAATTCCCGGTCAGGGCACATGACCGAGTTGCAGGTTTAATCCCCAGTTGGGCACATGCAGGAGGCAACCAATTGATGATGTTTTTCTCGCATCGATGTTTCTATCTCTATTCCTCTCCCTTCCTCTCTCTCTAAAAATCATTAAAAAAAACGTATTTTTTTAAAAAAGGACTAGAAACTGTCATTCATTCTCTAATTTTTCTTACCTCCTCTTTCTGCATTTACAGCCGACTCCACTGAATCAACACAGACTTCCATGAGAAATCCATTTGCTGTTCCTAAAATACATGAAAAACAATGCAATACCATGATGGGACTATTTTCCAGACCCATCTACCACTATCATTTTATACGTATTTTGCTGACAAAATTCAAATGTCCAATATAGTAAAGTGTATAAGTATATAAGGGGCCATGAATACAATAAAATATCATGTTAATTATAAAACTGATGTCTTTGGACTATGAAATAAGAACACTAACATATAAAAAATTATACTGAAAACAATATTTACTGAATGCTGAATTAATCTTCCTAAAACACAGACCTCATCATCACATTCCAGGTCCAGATTCTTTCAATGCTTCTCAATGAGTGCCTGCAGAAGATGTTTAAACTTCTTTACAAGGAATATATGTTTAAGTGCTAAGATGGACCTCAAATCCTGGCCCCCTCCAAACTTGTATGATTTTAGAAAAATTACTTAGTCTAAGTTGTCTGTACAACAGAGTAGATTTTAGTACCTACCACAGAGTAGTGAAGATAAATCATGTAAAGTGATACTACCAAGTGTGCAAAAAGTACTAGTTTCATTAACTACAAGGTATTTTCTCGATATGCCTCCAGTTGTCCCTAATCCTCACTCCTGCTCTTGCTTATGCCATCTCCTCAATCCACAAAGTCCTCCCAGCTCCATCTTTGACTGCTAAACTCTTCCAAGACTCATGTCAAACCATATTTCCATACTTCCTATCTCCCAAAGTAGGAAATTGTATCTCCCTTTTTTGAACTCATATAACTTTTTTTAAAATATATATTTTTATTGATTTTTTACAGAGAGGAAGGGAGAGGGATAGAGAGTTAGAAACATCTATCAGCTGCCTCCTGCACACCCCCTACTGGGGATGTGCCCGAAACCAAGGTACATGCCCTTGACTGGAATCGAACCTGGGACCCTTCAGTCTGCAGGCCGACTGTCTATCCACTGAGCCAAACTGGTCAGGGCTGAATTCATATCATTCTTTATAAGTTATATGTTCTCCTTTAAAACACTAACTGTATCTCTTCAAGACACGATTTTCTATCTGTTATTATTTATGTAGATAAGTGTCTGATCACTCTTACTTGATCTAAAGTTCACAAATAAGGTCTTTTTCCCCACAAAGGTTATTTTTTAACTTACTTATTGATTTTAGACAGGGAGGAGGGGGGAGGGGAGAGAGGGAAAGAAAGAGAAACATCAATCTGTTATTCCACTTATTCATGCATTCATTGATTGATTCTTGTATGTGCCCTGACCAGGGATCGAACCCACAACCTTGGCATATTGTGAGGGTGCTCTAATGAGCTAAGCCACCTGGCCAGGGCCTAAGTAAGGTCTTTATGTGAGAAATCTTTATTATCACCCACAGTAAGCACAGGGTCTACCATGGTCCACAACAGTCAAGCAAACATTTACTGAAGTCTGAATAATTACAAATTCATGAAAAGTCACATATCTACACTAAAAAGTATGATGAAAATAGAGTTTTGCGTTTTGTTCTGTAAGCTAAACACATAACTTTTAAAAATTAAGAATTCTGAATGCATACTTCATGCAATATCTGAAAGAATGGTTACCACATACTGATAATGACTATAACTAGGTGCTGGGGTTTGGAGTGCCTTTACTATGTTTTTACTTTCCTACATTGCTTGATTTTTCTTCTACCCAATATTGCTTTTATCATTTTTTTAAAAGCAATTTTTAATTTAAAAACCAACAATCTAGCCTGGCTGGAGTGGCTCAGTAGTTGAGCATCGACCTACGAACCAGGTCAGGGCACATGCCTGGGTTACGGGCTCCGTCCCCAGTGGGGGGGTGGGCGGGAGGCAGCCCATCATGACTCTCTCTCATCATTGATGTTTCTCTCTCTCTCTCCTTCCCTGAAATAAAGAAACAAAAACAAACATATTTTTAAAAAAAGAAAAACATACCATCTGCTAAGATCAGGTTGCAACTGTCTCATTTATTTAGAAGAAGGCTATCGGTCTCAAACTGCGAAAGAGTGAAGCGCCACCCTGTGCTCTTAACCCAGAGCTGCACTAATTCTATGAGCTTCCTGATAGCCACCCGGACCAGCTGTCAGGCCAATCTAACTGGACAATGCTGCAGGGGTACCGTTTGCCTCCTGCAAGAAAGGGCCTTGGCTAGGAGAGGGTGGGGATGCACGCAAAAGGCTATGACAGAAGGCAGAGTAAGGCAAAGCAAAGTTCTTATGGGGATCAAAGAAAAAGGTATTTGTCTGGAGCAGTTCTCAAAGTGCAGTAGGTCAGTTAGCTCTGGGGGCTCGGGATCTTAGAATCTTCCATGATCCTTTCAGGGTCTGTGCAGTGAAAAAGTGCATGATATTAAAATTTTATTTGCCTTTTGCACTTTCATTATTTCACAAAGTGGAGTTTTGGGGAGGCTACCTGACATGTCAGACTGAACGCAGAAGCAGGTATAAGAACACAGGCATGAGAATTCCATTAAGCCTGATAGTCAAGAGGTCTGCAAAAACACAAAACATCGGCACTATTCCATTTTGTTTGTTGAGGAAAACAGTTCTTCAGGGGGGAAGAAAAAGGGTTATTTGCGTTAACATGTAATGGGTTTATTATGGTTATTTTCTAGTTAATAACTGTTTTAAAACTTTGTTTTAATTTTAAACACAGTCAGTATCAATAGATTTAACCTATATGAAAACGGTCTTTGAGGTCCTCAATAATTTTTAGGAGGGAAAGGGGATCCGAGGACTGCTGGTTTGGAGGAACCCGGAATTCACGGAGGGGTCTGCCAAACCCCTAGCACCTGCCACGCCTCCTACCCAGGGCGACAGGAGGAAGGCGGGACTCGGGCCGCCAGCTCTGCCCCTGGTGGCTGCGCGGCTCCGGAGAACCCCCTCCGCCGCTGCAGCAGCCGCAGGTGATGGAGCGGTCAGCACAGGGGAGGCGCTGGGCTCACAGCGATGCTCGACTGGCGACGCGAAACGTGAGGCTCGGAGAAGTTAACCAACTTGAAGACAATCGCACGACGATACACGGGGGCCCCGGGATTCGAACCCACACCTCTGGCTCCAGAGCCGGGCCGCTCTCACTGCACGCCCTTCGCAGGCACCCCTTCCCACGTGTGTACAGCCGGAATGGCAGAACCCGTCGCGCAGGGGACCCCGAGGGAAATCGCGATCAATCCACTGGCCGATCAGAAACCCCGGCAGGCCCGCCCGCTCCCGGCAGCGAGGGGAGCCGTCCCCGCCCCGCCCCGCTCCTTTCCGCACCGGTCTTCCCGGACGGCATCCCCTGCCTCTTCATCCTCCACACGGTCCTCCCTCGCAAGGCTACGGTTTCCACTCGGATCCGGGTTTTGGTGCGCGCGACCAGGGAAGCTCGTTCTCACCGCTGCGCGCGCCTCCGCGCGCCCCTGACGTCCACGCCCCAGCAGCCCCCGCGAACGCCAAGTCGACGGCGCAGGCGCAGTCACTGCTCACCCCCGCTGTCTAGGGAGGAGGAGCTCGCTTTAGTGTGACTCGGAAGTGCTTCTTCCCCGAGGCAGAGAGGAGAGACCTCCGAGCGCCGGGGTGTGGAGGTGGCGGCCGGGCCCCGTCGTCAATATGCAGCGATTACTCCTTCCGCCCTTGAAGGCCTTGATGGGGGGGCCGTGTCTCCGACTCCTGGGTCCCAGGGCGGCACCTCGAAAGCAGGTACCGCACCGCAGCGGAAGCGGACACGGGGAGAAAGACGGTAGATGACCCACATCACGTTTCCGTAGCTCCTTAGAGATCTAGGCGCGTGTCCTTGTTTCCGGAGCCCCTGCGTTCCGCACTGGACCTGCCACTTATAGCTGTGTGTTAGTTACTAGCCAAGTTAGGTAACCTTCCTGTGCCTCAGTTTCCTCATCTCTAAAAATGGGGATGACAACAATACTTAATTCATAAGACTTCTGGAAGGATCACATTTAATATACCTAAGCACTTAGCACAAAGTAGAAGCTCAGTACATTTTATCCAGATATTTGATTCTTGCGAAAAGTCCCCAGGTAACCAGGTTAAGGACTGTGTAACTCCCTTCTGCAAAGAAGGAAATTGAGGCCTAATTTAAGTTGTCTAAAGTTACTTACTTAGAAGCAGGAAACCAGATTCGGTCTTTTGGCCCTCAGGGATGTCTCCCCTCCACTGACAGTTGCTGCATTGAGTGACTGCTATGTGTTAGGAACTGGGAAGCAAAAGAACCTATCAAAAGGCTACCGCCCTGGAGGAGGGCACAGTGTAGTTATTATAATTCATTTATGAAGGTTTGTTGGGTAAGGGGCCTGTGTTTGAAACAAAGGAAGCAGGAGAGAAGGGACCAGGCCCCGTTGTCCCACAGCTCACAGTTGAGTGGGAGACGGGGAGGAACCTAAAGTGTGCTGAGAGTGACCTGTTGCGGACCTAGGATAGCCTGGGAACACTTCCCAGAGGAGAGAGGTGAAAATATCAGCCAGAGGAGGTGGCTTCCGAACTGAGGTCGGCAGTGGGCATTACAGGCACACCTCGGGGGCAATGCAGGTTCGGTTCCAGACCCTTGCAATAAAGCGAATGTCACATAAGCGAGTTACATGAGTTTTTGGGTTTCCCAGTGCATATAAAAGTTATATCTTCGTTATACTGTCGTCTGTTAAGTGTGCAGTGACAGTCTGTCTAAAAATTCAATGCACATACCTTAATTTAGAAATACCTTCCTGCTAAAAACTGGCGACCATCATCTGAGCCTTAAGTGAGTCGTCATCTTTTTGCTTGTGGAGGGTCTTGCCTTGATATTTATTGATGGCTGCTGGCCGATCAGGGGGAAGGTTGGGTTGGCTGTAGCAATTATTTAAAATAAGATAACAATGAAGTTTACTACATTGATGGACTTCCTTTCATGAGAATGCTTTCTCTATAGCATGGGATGCTGTGTCACAGCATTCTACCCACAGTGGAACTTCTTTCAAAATTGGAGTCAATCCACTCAAACCCTGCCACTGCTTTAGCACTAAGTTTATGTGATATTCTAAGTTCTTTGTTGCCATTTCAACAGTCTTCACAGTATCTTCACCAAGAGTAGAGTCCATCTCAAGGAACCACTTTTTCTCCTTCTCCAAAAGGAGCAATTTCTCGTTTGTTCAAGTTTTATCATGAGGTTACAGCAGTTGAGTCACACTTGAGGCTTCAGTTCTAATTCTAGTTCTCTTGCTGTTTCTACATCTGTGGTTATTTCTTCCACTGAAGACTTGAGCCCCTCAATGTCATCCATGAGGGTTGGAGTCAATTTCCAAACTCCAAAATACTGATATTTTCACCTCTCTCTGTGAATCACAAATGTTCTAAATGGCATCTAGAATGGTGACTCCTTTCTGGGAAATTTTCAATTTGTTCAATGCAGGGTTGCCACAAACCTTCAATTTGTAAAATAAACGCATTATCTGCAAAGCGCAAAAATTGAAGCACAATAAAACGAGGTATGCCTGTATTTTCATATATACATATATATTCATTGCAGAGCGGAAGGGAGGTAGAAACATCAATGATGAGAATCATTGATCTGCTGCCTCCTGCACGCCCCCTGCTGGGCATCAAGCCCACATTCCAAGCATGTTCCCTGACTGGGAATTCCTGGTTCACAGGTTGATGCTCAGCGACTGAGCCGCACTGGCCAGGCTGCCTGTATTTTCTATCAGGGAACAAGGGTGTCCCAGAAGTCTTATTTAAAGATCCTCAGAAGAAATAAAAGAACCCCTGTCTAGGTGTAGAGTTAAGTCTGGGGGAAGTATGCAGAGATCAGAAGGTTCCTGTAGTGTGGCAATGGATTGGAATGAGGCCAGGACTACAGGCAGGAAAACTAGTAGGAAGGTGGATACAGTAATCCAGTGAAGAGATGATTTACCGGGGCAGCAGCAGTGGAGATGTTGCACAGCACAGTGGGACTAGGGTGAGTAGCAGTGAAGCGAGGTCCTTCCCTCTCTCCAGTTATAATTTATCTGTCTTGATCCTTAGTGTGGTTGCAGCTGTGGGATCAGGATCCCCTTGAGGCCAGGGCAGTACAGCACCATCTCTGAAGTAGCTTTACAATCTGGAAGGGGTACAGTGTCCCTCCCTTCAAAGGCTGCTGAGCGGGTGGTGGGCCGATGGCTCCTGGTCTGCAGTGGAACAGTGGCTGGAGCAGTTATTCTTGGTGGAGTAACTAGGTGAGTAATTTGCTCATAGCAGTTGTCAGCTGTTTGGGTCGTCAGTAGAGGTACAGGATGACCAAGGGGGAAAGGACCCCAGGAATCATGTAGTCTAGCTCCTTCATTTGACAAATGCAGAAACTGAGGCCTAAAGAGGGAATGTGACTGATAGCTTGCCCTGACATAGAACAGTTTAGGGTTTATTTAAAAGGAGCACTTCATCGCTTCTCCGCCTTTTGGCTAAGATCAAGTGTAGTATCTGTTCTTATCAGTTTAAAAGGAGCTCTTCATAAAGACTGGTTTAGATCTTAATTGTTAGCTGTACATTGTGTATATTTCCCCCTATAATCAGAGCTCAAATTTGTCTCAAAATTTTGTATACAGTTAGTTTGAATTAAACCCAAATAAGTTTGATACATCAAAATTAGTTCATATGCCTCTTGGGTCTCTTTATACCTCCCCTTCCCCCCTCACCACCCCCACCCCCCCATTTGCAGTTTTTATTGAAGAAACCCAAATCATTTGTCCTATAGAGTTTCCCAGTCTGGATTTTTCTGATTGCATACAATGGTGGTGGTGGCTAACAAGTCCCATTGTCCCCGGTATTTCCTGTAAACTGGTTATTGCTTGATCAGCTTCAGGTTGGGACAGGGGGCAAAACACTTCATAGGTGATTATAACATTTACAAATATTTAGTGTCTATTAGAGATGCCAACCACCATTGGTGATCATTGCCCAGATCCATTATTTCATTAGAGTTTAAAATTGTAATATTCTAGTAGCTCAGCTCTAAAGAGAAACTTTCCCTCATCAACAATTGGGTTATCCTAAGGTACATTATATATAGGAAAAGTAGGATAAACACTTGATTCTTTTCCTTTATTTACCAATTTTCAAAATAATAAATTGGTTCCCACGTACCCTCCAAAGGTAAACAATAAAGTGTGCGTTTTTAAGTATCCTATGAGCTCATAGGTTTAAACATACTTGGTATGTTTCAATCCATTGCAGTGATGTTTTGCTCAAATTGTCCCATCCTTAGTCAGTGAGAACCTCTCAAATTGGCTCCAGAGTCGTTTTGACAGGACCCTGGTAACCTTTGAGTCCTTGCTTTCTGGATAAAATATTCCAGGCTCTTCTTGTGCATTTCCTGCCTCAAGCCTAAAATCAGCCTTTTACTTACACTAACTCCTTTTGGTGAAAATACCTTTGGTTTTAATTATGTATGTGTTCTCAAATTTTCTCCACATTCCCCGTGCTCTTATTTCAAATACTGAATGTGTTATATAGGCTGTTACGAGAACTGACAGATTTGAATTTTGCTGTCTTTAAATTTACTCAAGAACCCTATATCAAATCTCTTTTCCTTGGTTATGCATTTAGGGCAAATTTCCTTGGTCTAGGGTTGATTTTGCTGTTTCTGTCAAAATTCTAAGCAGTAAGAGAAGAGATAGGTGTCAGGAAACAATGAAACGTTTACCTTTAGATCCACTTGTTGCCATAAACTATTTATGAGTAATCCATCATTGAGCATTCTCTCTCCCCCCCCCCCCCCCCTCTCTCTCTCTAATTTCTTTCCTTTCCTAAGATTGACAGAGTCTGGCCTCTCAATGGTAGATTGGCATTTAATAAAGGAGATGAAGCCACCTACAAGCCAAGAGGAATGGGAAGCAGAATTCCAAAAATACCAGCAATTTCCAGAATTTAAAATGTAAGTATTATAAAAAATCAGGTAAATGTCCCACGAGATCCACTCAGTCTCTTGCTCATTTAAACGTGTCAGAAGATTAGATCCCATTATTTCTTGGTATTTGGCTCTGTTTAGTGAGCTTCCTACGCTAAACCTCCAATTCCAGAGTGATCCTGAGGCCACTGATGAGGAGGAGGGTGGACCTATCAAGCATCAGGACTGGAAAAGTTCCTGCATTCCGTTGGGAAATAAAATTGAGATGGATGTTTCCTCTTGCTTATTTTTTTACTTCCCTTTTCACCCAGCTTAAATCATGATATGACACTGGCGGAATTCAAGTTCATCTGGTACATGGAGTACTCACACCGAATGTGGGGTCGGCTTGTAGGCCTCGCATACATCCTGCCTGCTGCCTACTTTTGGAGAAAGGGCTGGCTCAGCCACAACATGAAAGGACGTGTTCTTGCCCTCTGTGGTTTAGTATGCTTCCAGGTGAGACTTATTCAAGTTTGGGAAACAAGAGATGTTTCCAAGAGCTTCCTAGTTGGCATTCTTTAACAGAATAGGTGAGCATGTGGATTTTAGTGCAGCATGCCTGGCTTTAAGGCCCAGCTCTACCACGTAGTAGGCAAGTTCTAGCCTCTGTAGGCTCTGCTTCCCCTACCTGTAAATAGGGATAATAATAGTACCTACTGTTTAGGTTGCATGAATATTAAATGAGATCATGCACATAAAGAACTTAGGTTAGCCGTGACCGGTTTGGCTCAGTGGATAGAGTGTCGGCCTGCGGACTGAAGGGTCCCAGGTTCGATTCCGGTCAAGGGCATGTACCTTGGTTGTGGGCACATCCCCAGTGGGGGTTGTGCAGGAGGCGGCTGATGGATGTTTCTCTCTCATCCATGTTTCTGACTTTCTATCCCTTCCCCTTCCTCTCTGTAAAAAATCAATAAAATATATTAAAAAAAAAAACAAAAAAACTTAGGTTAGTGCCTGGAATCAGTAAGCACTCAAATATATTTTTGTGTCACAAGAATTAGAGTTTCTTTCCCACCATGGCTCTCCTGGATTCTCATCTCTTCCCTTTTTCTATCTGTGCGGAACGGGGATCCCTATGGTAGAATGGCTGTAGAAGCAAAAAAGAAAATTCCAAAAGAGAAACAGTTTGTGGGATGAGAGATTTTAAAATATAGATGTAGCTGAGAGGTATTAAAGTACTGTATACTATAAATGGTAGGAAAAGATCATTGAATGACTCTGAGGCTGAGAGCCAAGAAAAGGGGTATTAGAAAAGACATGAGTATTTGGGTCAAAGTATATAGGGCCTAAGGGAGAGTATCAAAACATCAAAGAAATATCAAAATTTGATCAGGAGGAAGTGAGTTGGTTAATTTAACGTGGAAATGGTGAAATTATGATCCAAATAGAAGGAAATGTGGAAGTTGGAAGAGATGTAATATAGGCAATAGAAGCAAATAATAAGGAATTAGACATTAATAAAAGTCTAATGGAAACTAGGGGAGAGGGGAATGCCTGGCTGGCTTGGCTCCATGGTTGAGCATCAACCTGTGAACCAGGAAGTCATGGTTCAATTCCCAGTCATGGCACATGCCCGGATTGTGGGCTTGATCCCAATGCGGGACGTGCAGGAGGCAGCCAATCAATGATTCTCATCATTGATGTTTCTGTCTCACTCCCTCTCCCTTCCTCTCTGAAATCAATAAAAATATATTTTAGAGAGAAAGAAACTAGGGGAGGGAGGGTAAAACAAAATGAAAATTTGTTTAAAAATGGAAAAAAAATGTCACTAAGGACAGACTCTAAGAGAAGCAGAAAATTGTAGATGGCAAATAGGGTATGGAAAAAAGAAAGTGAGGGCTAGCAAATCACACTCTATACTTCATCTTCCAATGTTCTGTGCAGAAGAAATTAAGATAGGACATCCAGGGTAGTCATAAAGGGGGAAGAAATGCCCAAAAAAGATTTCCCAAGGAGCATATATTTAGAAGAGGTGGGAGAATTCCACCTTTTGACATTATTCTATTGTCCTGGCAGGGTGGGGGTGACAGGGCTAGCCTATATAATAAAAGCGTAATATGCAAATCGACCAAACGGCCGAACAGCGGAACGACCATCCGGGACCACGCTATGACACCCACTGGCACCAGGCCAGCCAAGGCGGGTGCAATGCAATCGGTCAGGGACCCAGCCATTGCCCCATGATCGCCCTGCAGAGGGAGACTCAGGCCACCTACCGGCAGGCTGCGGTGGGTGGGCAGGGCATACCTCTGCAAGGGAAGCCCAGGCCAGCGGCTGGAGGGAAGCCCAAGTCCCGGGTGCCAGAGGGAAGCCGGTGCCAGCAGCCAGGGGAAGGAAGGCCTGCTCTTGTATGAATTTTGTGCATCAGGCCTCTAGTATTTATATGATTGGAACTGACACTTGCTTGGGTTACTTGAAAAAGTTAGTAAAAGCAGGGAATCATAGAATAATAATACATACCTTAACTTTTAAACATGTACTTTCATTACCTTTATTTTAAAACTAGAGGCCCGGTGCACGAATTTGTGCACTGGTGGGGTCCGGCTGGCCCACCCCAATGGGAGCCCATTGGGCAGGGCCAGCCATGGGGTCTAATGATGGAAGCTATAGCTTTCCCCCAGCTGGATCTAATTATACTTTAAGGATGCCAAAAGAAAACCCACAACAGAACTGTTTTGCATTTCACATGCCATGAGATGAAGTTGTTTATGTGTTGTTTGCAAACGTATATCAAGATGGATGTTGGCCCTTTAATGATTTTTGCATCTTCCCGGTGCTCTGCCCTCAGTTTCCCAATATGATCTTCATGTCTGTTTAAAAGTTTTTCTGATTTTGAATGTGCCTACCCTTTGCTGTTGCTTCTGGCAGCCTGTGGGTCCTCTTTGCCGTCCCTTTTAAAGAGAGATTGAAAGTTCACCTAATCTGCAAGGCACCGCATTTTCACAAAATCCCCACCCAGCCTCTCTACATTCCTCAGCAAAGGGCCGCCATCCCGTTAATGCTTAGGTCGCCTTTTTGGCTAATTTGGAAGGTCTCCTGGTCGCCTTTTTGGCTAACTTGGAAGGTCTCCTGGGGCCGCGGGCTGTGGAGGGAGAATTCCACGCCTTGGCTGCAGTATTAGCACAGCCCTCTGGAGACTCTGGTTGGGGACAGAAGGGACTGATCATTATTTTCTTGTGCTTTCACTAAATGTTCATGCACCAGGGAGCCAGGCAGTGATTAGGGGTGTTGAGGGCTGGCCGGGGCAAGGGGCCGCAGGCGGTTTGCCGGCTGGCCCTGCCCCCATTGGGGTGGGGGGGCCGCTCAGGGACAGGGATAGCCGGGCAAGGGGCCGTGGTCGTCTGGTTGGTCTGCCATTTGGTCGCTGGGCTTTTGTTATATAGGATGAAGAGCCAAGGCCTGTTTTTTAGTCCTCTGATTGGAGTTCAAGCTCAGATCTTACACCCCCATAAACTATCATTTTATTTTCATTTCTCTTAAGAGAAGTGAGAACTTAGATACTTGCAAAGCAATCTGACTGCAAAGCCTTACTGATTTTTACCCCCACAAAGCTTTTATAATTTTTTATTCCCACCTAACTTGGTAGTAGTTGTTTTTAAGCTTTCTCAAGCTTTCCAAAACATTCAATCTGGTTTTTATAGAAACAGCTGTCTTTGTATTCTCATATTTCAGTGGTTCACATAATGTTAAATCATATCAAATATATGTAAGGTTTTGCCCACAGATAAGCTTTTGTATGCTTTTCTATATTTGACTTATACTTCAATAAAATGATAATCTAATCAGCAGTTAAATATTTATGGTGCTGTATGTGGAAATGTGGTTAAGTCATGATTCCTGAGATACAGAGGATTTGGGAGGGGCATGGAAAGGAAGTGTCAGGTAGGGAGTGTGCCTGATAATCGATAACTCACTTTCTCCGAGAGTAAAGTTGAATAGACAGTTTCAACCTTGTTTTCTTTGCCTCTTCTCTTTTTGGTTCTAGGGCCTGTTGGGATGGTATATGGTGAAAAGTGGATTAGAAGAAAAACCAGATTCTCATGACATCCCTCGGGTCAGTCAGTACCGCCTTGCTGCCCACCTGGGATCAGCCCTGGTTCTTTATTGCGCCAGCTTGTGGACTTCGCTCTCGCTGCTGCTTCCTCAGCACAAGGTAAAAGTCAGTCCATATTGTTGCCAGTTCTACACACGGCTGACAGGTAATTCCGGTTCTACTAGGAAGTTATGTCAAAATGTACATATTCCCTTGATGACATCTACCAGTTTACCAGCAACCAGATAAAACCAAAGCTTAGAGGAACATTAAACTTTGGGACTGGAGAGCTTTGAGACTGCAGAGTAAAATGTGCAGTTATTTTGAGCTGGAGCAACTCATTCAAAGGAGAAATAGTATAAGAGAGGAATATTTTGTCAGCATTGCCTATTGGAAAAGGTGAAAACGTGAATTTTAGAAAAAGTGGGACGGAGTACCAACAATAAGAGATATCCCAGCCACTCTGGAGGGGTGGGAATGGCGAGGCAAGGAGGCTAGAACAAGAGCGAGTGCTGGCCCTGTGGTGGTGCACAAGAGCCATCGTGGGTTGTTTGTTCTTTAGATGGCGACCTGCCATTCATCAGGCCGAACAGTACAGTAAACTTAGTGATCTTGCCACACGTATTTTCTCAGTAGGCCGATTAAAAGTTTTTTCTAGTTTTGTGGGGTTTTTTTAATGAACAGTATTTTAGGTATTGAAGACATGGTTGACCTGGATAACCTGTTCATGGAGTAGGTTTTGAGATGTCAATAGAACTTTTAAGTAGAATCATCCAGTAGGTACTTGGAGCCAGTGGCCTGGATCCCAACAAGGACGGGAGATGTTCACTTGTCAGTCATCCCACAGGGAAGCCAGATGGAGTTGAAACATTGGTACAGTAGGCAAATCCACATCTGAAAAATTCCTATTCTCCTGGCTTTCAAAGCCAAATTTCTAAAATGAATTGCCTATATTGATAGCTGTACATCCTGACAACCCATTCTTTCCTTTCAGTTCTTGTCAGGCTTCCCAACCTACCTCTATACATATCCACCACACACTTACCTACACACTTACATATACACACTCATTGCCAACAGTCTCTACTGACTTTTTAATTATCAATGAATTGTTTTTCTCTTTTTAAAATTTATTTATATTCCACTAATTACAGAAAGGATTTGAGATAGTCAAACATATAGTTGGAGATGCTGTCCAACACAGTAGCTCACTAGCTACATGTGGCTATTTAAATTTTAATTAATTAATATTAAATAAAATTAACTTTAAACAAACTTGTTATTTACTTCACCTTTAAATAAAATTAACGTTTTATTTAATTTTAAGTTGCTCTAACCTCGGTTTAAGATCTCATTATCCACTTATTGGGGGCAGCACAGATACTAGAACATGTCCGTCATTGCAGAAGTTCTATTTGACAGCCCTGACATCATGCTACAAAAATCTCAGTAATGATACCTCATTCTTCACGTACTAGATTGCAAAGCATTTGAGGGCAGCACTCTGACTTCACCTTTCTGTATCTTTATGGTTACCTGTTTATAAAGTTCTTCATAAATATTTGCTGACTCACTGATTGGTATCAAAAGTTGGCTATAGCAAAAATAAATTTTGACTTTACCAAAAACACAAGAATCTCCACTATAGGCATTAAATGCCAGAATCTCCACTCTAGGCATTTTATGCAATTTTGAATCTGATTATATTTGGTAAGCATTAAATATCACACACAAGATGAAAATCCAGTCCTATATTTTAAGCCACATCATTTTAACCATGGTGAAGCATCCTCCCCGTCCACCTGAACAATGCAAATCATGCAGTTATGAAATAGATACGTATTGAGCACCTAATGCCAAGGCTACTGTAATAAGACAGATGGCAGTTCCTGCCTTCACAAAACTTACAGGATAGCAGAGAAGACAGGTGGTAAATGTATAAATTTAATAAAACATGATGTGTGTCAGAAGAGAATATCTGCTGGGAGTACCTAACCTCGTTTAGGGGTCAGAGAATATCTGACCTCAAATTGTCACTTGGCTTTGGCCTTGGAGATCTTTGCTGCCTCTTGTAGTTCCTGCAGAACTGTTAACTTGAGTGATTTTTTTATTTAGTTGCCTGAAACCCGTCAGCTCCTGTGGTTGAGACGATTTGCTCACGGAACAACAGGCCTAGTGTTCCTTACAGCTCTGTCAGGTAGGACTCTTCAAGATGGCCCATTTTCATTCCACTCTCAGGTCTCCTGCCTAGTGCTTTTCCCTTTCTTACTATAATTTCGTATTTCCTTTTCACATCTGCCTTTCTCATACCCATCATCTTTACCCTCTGTTTCTGTTCTTTCCTCCCTTCCAAAAATCCTGTGTAAATCAGTTAAACAAAATTATTGAGCAGCTGCCTGGATCCACACTGCCTAGATTCAAATCCTGGCTCTTTTTTTTTTTTTTAATATATGTTATTGATTTTTTACAGAGAGGAAGGGAGAGGGATAGAGAGCTAGAAACATTAATGGGAAACATCGATCAGCTGCCTCCTGCACACCCCCTACTGAGGATGTGCCCGCAACCAAGGTACATGCCCTTGACTGGAATCGAACCTGGGACCCTTCAGTCCGCAGGCCAACACTCTATCCACTGAGCCAAACGGGTTAGGGCTCAAATCTTGGCTTTACCACCTGTGAACTCAGTGACCTTGGGTGAGCTTTAGACCCTCTCATACTCAGTGACCTCATCTGTGAAATGGGGATGATAATAATATGAGTAGAATATGTGAAGTGCTTACAACAGTACCTGGCATGTGGCAAAAACTACATTAAGTATTAGCTGTTATTATTATGTAAACATTATTGTTATTATTACACATATAACAAGATGGGTCAGACAAAAGACCTTCCCTCAAGGTGGTCTAAGGTAGGGAGTTCATTGGGGCAAAGAGGCCAACGCAGATCTTTCTCATTCTTTAAATCATACCTCTTCCTCTCTCATTGTTGAACTGTGTTATCCAATACAATAACCACTAGTCTCATGTGACTATTTAAACTTAAATTGTTTAAAATTAAGTAGAATTTAAGGGTTAGTTCCTCAGTCACATTAGCCACATTTCAAGAGCTCAGTAGCCACATGTGGCTTAGCAGCTGTTATACTGGATGGCAGATATAGCACATTGTCATCATCCCATGAAGTTCCATTAGACAGCACTGCTTTAAAATAAAACCATCAAACCAGTGATCTCCCCAACCCTCCCCTCCCTCTTTTCATGGTGGAAGAAAATGAATTTTGACTTGATAAATGGCATTTACAGAATCAAGAATATGATCTAAACAACCCTAAATCCTCTTTGATCATAAATAATGGACTCAAAATAATAATTTGATAATAATAACTCACGAATACCCTGTTTATGTGCTTAGTAGCCAGTAACATATCCAGGATTTAGTTTATAAGCGTGTGGTTTTTTTCCATTTCTTTGTTCATTTAATAAACATTTTTTTGAGCACTTGGGGAAGAGATAAACAAAAACAGTATGTCAGAGTGTTCAGTGCTGTGAAGAGAAATAAAGTACTTTATGGAATAGCGGTAGGGTGGGGAAGTACTGTCTTTATGGGATCATTGGGGAGATCTTTTGATAAGGTGAGTAAATTATGCAGATATCTGGGGGAAGAACTCTTTCAGAATAGATCAGTAGTTCTCAGTGGGGGGAATCACTAAGGAATTTTTTCAAAGGAGCATGTCTCTCTAGAGCTTCTAGTTCATTCCTCCAGGGGAGGCATGCCAGAATCTTGGGGTGGGAGCAAGTGAGACTATAGTTGTTTTTCTTTTAAGCTCTCATGGTGACTGTGATGTATATTCCCTGTTTGAGAACCCCTACTGTAAACACTTATATAAGGCACTTCCTTTTATCTAACTCTGGGATAATGAACTTTTTCTTTTTTAATCTTTATTATTGAAAGTATTACATGTGTCCCTTTTTTCCCCCATTAATCCTCTCCAGATAAACTTTTTCTGTGTCAGAATAATATTTGGCCCCCTCTTTCTCTCATTTTAATAAATACCATTGACCTTGGCATACAGGGGCTTTTGTGGCAGGACTGGATGCTGGGCTTGTTTACAACTCCTTCCCCAAGATGGGAGAATCTTGGATCCCAGAAGACCTTTTCACCTTCTCTCCCATCCTGAGGAATGTTTTTGAGAACCCTACTATGGTGCAGTTTGATCACCGAATTCTGGTAAGTCTGGCTGGTGCTCACAGGTTTTGGGGTGTTCGAAGCACTGATTACAACAGTGAGAGGATAGAGTGAGCGCCAGATTTCCTTTTTTTTTTTAAAGAGGAAACTGAGTATCAGTTTTCTAATGTGCTGTTTTTCTCCTAATTACCCACACACCCTCCCAGCCAATTTCTGGCTTTCAGGATACTGCCAGCTTCTTAAAGTTTGAATCTGCTTTTTACCATCTAGCAAATGATAACCTCCCTGAATCCTGCACACACATAGGAGAGTCATTTTAGCAGATAAAAGGCTGAGTAGAGAAGAGAGTGTGAAGACAGTGGATGCTGATCACATAGCTGTCAGAGCTGAACCAGGACCCCCCCAAGGAGCCAAGAGCATCATATGTACTTTTTGTTTAATTTAAGTAATATTTACTTAGGGCCTGCTATGGGTCATGTTAAGATTGGTCTGGTACTCTGGCATGATGAATTGAAGATGAGCAACAAGGAGACCAGTGAGAAGCAGCAGTGCTATAGCAGTAATGCAGGTGAGAGTGAGAGTGATGGGGTTCAAGGCTTCATGGTGGGAGTGGGTTTAAGAAGAATGATGAAACTGAGAGAGGTTGTAAGGAATAGAATATTGCTGTAGAAAGGAAGGTGAGGAAAGATAAAGGAAGATTCCAAAGTTTCTTTGGGGGCATGCTTAAAACATGACCAACAAAAATAAGGCTATTGGAATGAGTGCTGAGCTAGACATGGGATATGTCAACAGATGGAGGTATGTTGAGAGTGAGAGGATACAATACATCCACACAAAGAAGTCCAGAGGACTCAGATGGCTCCACCACCACCTCCTCTACTCACCGCTCAGGAAAATAATAACCCTCATGGGCTGGGGTCAGCCCTGCTTTAAAAATACAAGATTACTGTAGGTGTAAAATTAGGGATAAGAGTGCAAAGAATGATTTAAAATTCGAGCGCCATGCCTGGGGGCACCACAGTGGAAGGTGGATAAGATCACCGAGAGAGAGTGTGTATAAAGGGATAGGTGCAGGAACGTTAGGTGGCACCTGGGGCACACCTGCATTTAAGTGGCCAGAAGAGGGGTGGGAAGGAGACTGAGGAGCAGAAACCAGAGGTGGAACTGCAGGGGGCTCCCTGCCTGGGACAGGGAGGTGCCTGGTGGTTACTCACTGGTTCTGGAGGAGATACATGGAAGGTGAGCGGAAATCAGCAGGGTGGGCGCTTCCCACTGGCGCTTGATGAGACTCTTTCCCCCTCGCAGGGAATCACTTCAGTTACTGCCATTACAGCGCTCTACTTCCTGTCCCGGAGAATTCCCCTTCCTCGCAGGACCAAGATGGCAGCAGCGACTCTGCTGGCTTTGGCATATACACAGGTATAAACCACTTCTTTTTGGCCTGAGGGCGTCCCCAAAACAAGGTTAAAAAGGAAAGGTAACAGGCTAAGAGAAAATATTTTCAATACTTAAAATAGACTAGAAGATTAATAACCAGAAGATAAAATAAGGATATCAATACACAATTCTCATAAGAGGAATGATGAGTGGCCAATAAATACAAAAAGCTGTTTAGCCTCACTCATGATCACAGAGGAGCAAATTAAAACAATTCCTGCCATTTTGTGCTTGTCAGATTGGGGGGGGTGGAGGGGGGAGAAAGAAAAAGATAATCAGGTATTGGCACAGGTATAAGAAAATAGATACCTTCATACATTCTTAGTGAGAGCACGAGTTTATATGGTATTTTTCAGAGGGCAGTTTGGCAATATCTTTTAAAATGTTAAATATATAATCCCATGGCCCAGCAAATGGACTTATTAGTGCCTGCCCTAGAGATATTCTAATGCACAGAGCTACATCTATAAGGAAATTCATTATAGAATTGCTGCAATGGTGAAAAATTGGAAACCAACCCAAGTAGTTAGACAACTATGGTAAATGTATACTGTGGGATATTATATAACATTTTAAAATAGTAAGCTCTTAAGACATATATTAAGTGAAAAAAAGCAAGGGACAGAACAATGTATTTTTTGAAAGTACAAAACTATGTTTTTCTAAAAAACATTTATATAAAAGTACAAATGTGTAGAAACTGGTAACAGTGACTATCTTTGGTGAGGGGAACTGGGATAGGGTGAAGGATAATTAAGGGAAATTTTAGGGTTTTTTGTTTGAATTTACTTCATTGTAAATATCCTTACTTATGAAATTAAAAATATATTTTTAATGCTCTGATGGGAGAAGAGAGAGAGGTTTGTGTATGTGGCTGTCGATGCTGTTGTTTCAGCTCTGAATTTGTGGTTGTTGCTTTACTTACTGCCTGGTTTCCTCTCTAACAGGTGGGCTTGGGCATTAGCACTCTGCTAATGTACGTTCCAACTCCTTTGGCTGCTACTCACCAGTCGGGCTCCTTGGCTTTGCTCAGTGTTGCCCTTTGGCTCATGAACGAACTCCGAAGAATCCCAAAATAATTCTAAAAGGATCGATCAGCTGCGTAGGACTGAAACTGCTTTTGAGAGCTCATTAGAGCACAAGAACTTGGATTTTGCTAAGAGAATGAACTTGGCATATCAAATGGTTTCCAGATCGGTCAGGTTTTTAAAAACTCTTTGCCTGTTTCTGGAAGTCACTGGATCAAGAATGTCATTAGGTATGATTACAGTAACGGTTCCTTTTTAAATCTGTTATTTTTCACGTTGATCCTATTAATGGGATATCACCTCTTCTAGACAGAATTATTTTAAAAAGGGAACTAGAGTCACCGGGGTAGGTTCCCATAGCATTTCTCCTGATCCCCACACTAAGGTTGTCCTTAGTTAATAATAGTCACCAGAGGGCATTATGATCCTATCCAAAGAACCATATGCTAATGCTTCTACAGTTCCCTCCAACAAAGGAGCAACGAATGAATTAAGTTCAAATTTCAGATACTTTACTTCATTTTCATTTTATTAAAGATGAATAAGTTTGGAAAAACAGATCTGGTTGCATTAAGCTATATAACTATTATGCCACAATCCTGGTGAATGGAGATTATCTGAATTATTTTTAGGTTTGCATTATTCCCAGTATCAGACACATAGCAAATATTGCATGAATGAATAGAAAATGATTAAAGATTAATGTCCCAGGCACCTCTTCCAAAACAAGTCATCACATACCTACAAGATTAAATGAATTTATCATAATGTTTTCAAAGGTCCCTCAACAATTCTGTCAGTTTTTAAAACACTTGCTTTTCTTAACCCAGAATATTTCTGTCTTTAACTTAACAGTGACAAATGCTATCCATATGACAGGGATAACAATTAGCTACTGCTTTAAAGTGATGCTGGTTGCAAAGACCAACACCGATGATCAGAATATTAGGATAACCAATTTATCTTCAGTAATCCTTCCTTCTGGCCCTGGAGTGAATGGTGGGTTATATATTGGCATAGGTAACACATATATCCATGTCCCGGCATAAGGGAGAATGCCCTCCCCTCTAATATGCATTGCACAGTTTGCTCAACAATGATTTAACAGTATTTATCAGTGAGTATTTTAAGAACTGTTCAGCAAAATTATTATTTAATGTGAAGCATTAGAAAAACATACAATCTTAGTAACCCCCAAAATTGATGCAATACAGCAGCCTTTGGTCTTTTAAAGGGAGAAGGGAGCGTCTGCTGTGGATCATAAAAAAAAAAAAAAAAAAAGATGCCTTTCAACACTGCAGAGTCCATCGCTCAAGGCAGAAACAATGAAGGAGATAAGGCTTATACTTCATGGAGTTAACTAACGGGGAACTATAGAAAAAAAATTTCAAACACAACATAATGACAAATCAAAGTATTTGGGATCCTATTTGCAGAGCAAGACTCTTATGAAGCTAATAAAAGGCAGAGCCTTCAGCACCAGTAGTCTTCCCAGGCCAAACCCTGGCAGGTGCTCTGCAAGAGAGGCTGCTTAGGAAGGTGGAGTGGAGTGGTGGAGGAGTGGCAGGCGACCTAGGGTGTCCAAGCAGCTGCACTAAAACAGAAGAGGCTCAGGAGCAGACATGACTTCAGGCTGGCCTCAGTCACACACTTGGCTACAAACATTCTGTGGTTCAGAAATTTTTTCAACTTTGCTCAAACCTCAGAGGGAAGGTAGGGGAGGGTGCAGATAAGGGAGAAGAGATCAACCAAAGGACTTGTATGCATACATGTAAGCGTAACCAATGGACACAGACACCAGAGGGGTGAGGGCATGAACGGGGGTTGGGGGGGGGGCAATGGGGGAAAAGAACACACATGTACTACCTTAATAAAAAAAATGGCAAGCAATGATTGAATACATTTTAAAAGTAGAAAGCCCTTATAGTATGAGTAATAATTCATTTTTACAAATAAAAGGATTTCTATTGCTCAGACTCCAGAGATACAAAATGGTCAACAGATACATTTCTCCTCTGTCCTTCCAATAAAAGTACTGAGAAATAATAAATATTAGAACAAAGGAAAACTTGATTAATAATACAAGGGAGGTCTATTAGGATATTTTAAAAAGGCCTTATTTTTTAACAAATACTTTTTATAACACCAACAAAATCCTCACAGGTTTGGCGAACATATGGCCCTAGTGGCAGGACTCTGACACAGAAACTACGTTGGGAGAATATGAAACATCCACTGCTACCTCTACCTTATTGAAAAGAAGTTTAAAGATAGCAAAGAGAAACAGCACTCTGTTTCTGTAAGGGATCTGGAAACTGCCCAAGAAATACAACCAAGTTCCTTAGTGAGGTAGATCTAATAGGCATTTATACCTTAAATAATTTAGATTGTAACCGTCACATGACTTGCTTGGATGCTATGCTTAAGAAAAGTGCACAAGTCCTAGCTGGTTTGGCTCAGTGGATAGGGTGTCTGCCCATGGGTTCCATTCCAGTCAAGGGCTTGTACCTCGGTTGCAGTCTTGATCCCTGGCCCTGGTTGGGACTTGTGTAGGAGGCAAACCAATTTATGGCTCACATCGATGTTTCTCTCTCTCTCCCTCCCACTCTCTCTCTCCCTCCCACTCTCTCTAAAAATCAATGGAAAATCTCCTCAGATGAGGAATAAGAAAAAAAGGAAAACTGTACAAAATTAAGCAAATTGTTTAAAAAATATCTAAAATTTTAAAGTATTAAATACAGAAGCTAGAGTAGATGTAGTGAAAACCTGGTACTGTCCCTAGCAAAGTATTTCATATTTTATTCCTAAATATGAGCAAAGTGATCACAAGTGAAGATCAGAAGCAGTTACAAAGATGGGGCATGTTTATAGTAATAGTTGCAGTCAGCTAATATTATAAAGAATAGACTCTATTGAAATACACAATCTTGCAGGAAGATTCTGAGCATCTCATGGCAGCTGTCACTACTGCTATAGTAGTAATAGCACCTATTACTACTGCTCTGGGATTCAATTTCATCATCTATAAAATCAAGGGGGTTGACCAGAAGACCTCTAAAATCCCTTTAAAATCTCATGCCCTGAAATGGATGTATAATGATAGCTGTTGGATACTCCATTCGCACCAGGGAATGTCAGGGGGAATGGATAAAGTAGATGGCCACTGGCTCTTTTAGTCTTCAAAACCAAAGACCAAAATCCTCTTCCTGAAACCATACTACTTTTCTACCTTCTCACCTGCATTTAATGTCTTATGGTTCTCCCTTTGGGACTAACCTCATATCATCTTGTCTAGCCATCCTGTTTTACAGATGAGAAATGAACCAGAAAGGGCAAGTGACTTGCCTGGAGTAACAGAGCTAGTTAATGACAAAGCCAGGACTAGAATCCAAGTCTGCTGTTCATGAAGTCTGATGTTCTTTCCCCAAAATCATACCACCCACTCCTGACAAAAAGCAAAACACAAAACTATAAGAATAGGGCTGGGGTCGGGGGGGTGCGGGGAGCTTCTATTTAGGAAGCTCTTAGACTGAGGAGGGAACAGTCAAAATATTTTGGATGACATCAGAAGAATAAATAAAAATAGTGGAAACTGATTAAAATTTCCTTGACCACGGAAAATCAATTCAAGGAACTAAGATACAAAGAGAAACATGGTATAATTTCCCTTAGAATTAACTGCAACTTAAGTGAATATAATGCCATATAAATGGATGTTACTCATATTTTCCTTATGCTGTATTGATAAGAATTCAGAGAAGAGGGATGGGGTGTGCCATAAAACATCACCCCTTTAAGCACTGACTCTGGTTCTGACATTTGTGACCTCTCCCAGTGATGATAAAAGTACTAAAACAGTTCAGGCTCATTGTTGCTATTATCGGAAACACTAGTCTGTAGGATTCAAAGGAACTACTGGAATGTGACTTTTATGAAACCATAATTATATTCACAGAACTACTCAAAAGGCAAAAATGCAAAAAGAAACCTTTTAAAAATCTTTAGAAACAGCTAAAAAGTAAGACAGACTGTCTGACTCAATAAGCAAAAATATTTCATGAAAAGAAAGCAATATATATAGTTGCCCCTCTGCAAGAAATAAATGGCTCCTGTTTCTAGCTAATGAAATGTATTTTAAGATCATTAATTGGGAGCAATGGGAGAAGTACAGGAAACAGTACTAAGAGCATCTATTCAGTTTTTCTGAAGGGCGTGATAAAAATGTGTCCTTCATTTTATACTATGGAACTCTGACACGTTTTACTCACGGCAATAAAGACAAGCCGAGATTGTAATATTAAAATAATGTACAGGAGATAGCACACTAATTAAAGACTAATTAAAATAAATTAAGAATATGAAATACATTTACAGTCAAAAAATTATAAACATAAGTATCCTGAGTTTCTGAACTGTAAAAAAAAACATGGTAATATCAATCTGAAAGAATGCCATATGATTGAATAATATATATAAAAATCTGAACAGAATGTCTGGTACACATTAAGGGCTTAACAAATGGTAGCTATTATTATTATAACCAGGAAGAATAACTTCATAAAATCTTTCAATCGGGACTAATCACCACCTTCTCCCTGCTTGAACTTCATTTTGAGACACGAGAGGGATCACCGTTAGCCTATTAGGTAGCTTTTGACTAGATCACTGACTAGATCTACAAGAAAAATGCAAACAGTATTTGGAAACCAAGGTGAGAGGAAAAGAGTTACCTGAGTAGGCAAGGGCTAAGAAAAACATTTTGACATTATAAGCATTCATAAGGCGAGGGCTTACAGTGACAGAAAGATAAGTCAAAGAAAATCAAGGTAATTTATAAGTCTTAGAAATTAATGGAAATTACTGTGATATAAGTCCTAAAAATCTATTTCCAAAGGAAACTATAAGATACTTGGCCAGATCCATTATTATCTAATTTGAAAACCGTTCAAGACTTGTCATCTTTTTACCTTGATTTTTCTGTTTTATGAAGCATTTAATTCCCTTCTGCTTCCAGTATGAAATTTACATTTTAAGAATTTCACTTCTGCCCTGGCCAGGCGGCTCAGTTGCTTGGAGTATTGTCTGTGCACTGGGGGTGGGGGTGAGGTGCAAGTTCGATTTCCAGTCAGAGCCCATACTAAACAGCTAGAACTGCCCATGCAGAAGGCAGCTGATCAATGTCTCTCACACTGATGTTTCTCTCTGTCTCTCCTGTTCTCTCTAAGAATCAATAAAAGTATATCCTTGGGTGAGGATTAAAGGGAGAAAAAAATAAAAAATCTTTTTCACTTTTTTCCCCTTGGAAGTCAAGGTCCATTTCCCCTGGTTACCTAGTTTTAGAAATCAAGGTGACAAAAAAAGAAAAGAAAAGAAAGCTACTTCAACCCTGGGAGCACATTCTTGGGCAGAACATTCAAGGCTACACATAGGAAAGGATGGAGTGTAAAGAACGCACCGTGAGAGAAGGTGGACGTTCATGAACGGCTCTTCCCGCAACGTAAAGGCCAGGAGGAGCAAAGCTCCTGGAGGTCACGGATGAAAATGCAATAATTACGGCTTTTCCCCTCTCCTCATTAATGGAAATGCTGTTTGTGACTGAGCAATCTTTTAACAAAGGTTCTGAAAGTTTCCATGTGGCTTAATAACAGATTTATCTATTTATTCCAAAGTTTAGAATTTGCTTCTTTTCAGACATTCTCAGAGTCAAATTGAGAAAATTTTGATTTCTCAGAAAAATATGAATAAATAAGAGCTTGGATTTTATTGCCTTTGCCCACTATCCTGATATTGTTCTTTCCTTCTATAAAAACAACCCAAATATATCCCTTCCCAAACTATTGCTTTTAGTGATCTTAGCAGTGAAATAAAGGAACTCTTTTGAATCTTCCTGTATACGGGCTCATAAAAATAGGCCTGGAGACTTGGGGTGGTGAACAAACTATACAGCTGATGTATTACAGAATTGTACACCTGAAACCTAAATAATTTTATTAACCAATGTCAGCCCAATAAAATCAGTAAAAAAAAAAAAAATTTTTTTTTAAATAGGCCTATAGGACAGTGACCTGAAACCAAACCCAGGTCTCCAATACCCATCACAGTTTCTCCATCCTACAAGCATATTTAAGACTCAAAAAGAAAAATTAATGCCCAAACAGCCTCTGAGGCACATAGACATGGAAAATTTTTCTGTCCTGGTCATACAAGACATCAGATAAGACTTAGTCAAAATCTTTGATGATCCATTCATTTAGAAGGGGTGCTAACCTTTTAAAATCACATACTAACATCAGCAACACTGTCAGAGACCTTGGTCCACACTCAATGGCTTCTTTGTCAAAGAAACAAAGAAGTGTTATTTTGGTTGCCTGGAAATTCATATCTGTTCCACTGAACTGCAAATTATCTTGGACCCCTATTAAGGGTTGTGGATCTCCACATAAATGATCTCTCTGTTACAGAGAAAGAAGGGGCTGCTGCACTTGCTAGAATGTCTTCGGCTTTGTATCAGACGCTCCAAGCCTGGTTTCACCTCAGCGTCCAGGGGGCCCAATGCCAAACTTCATGCTTTTGCAAGGGGAGAAAAGTCTAGAGCCCTGGAACACACCAGATCTCTCAGATAAAGGAGAAGCGTGCTTCAGTTGGACTAAGGCTGTCACCTTTGTTAGCACCAATCTCTCATTACTTAGTTCTTCACAGACTAAGTTACAGCTTCTCTCAGATAAGAGGACCTGGAGATTGAGAGGAATTAAAGTGGAAATTCCAATGCCAAAATATCCACCAGGTCAGGCAAAGCAGCATCCGAAGCCATTACAAGAAAGTGGTGGAATTCAATGAGCAGCAACTCTGGAGTACTTGAGCTTCCACAGTCCTTGCTCAGCCTCAAGGCCCCACCTGTACCCCAATCATGGGCACCACCTCTTCAATCCACAGCAAGTTCAGTGGAGCTGAGGCTCGAGTCTGTCGGTGGTGAATTCGGCGTAGCCGCAGAAGGTACAGGATGATGGCCAATAGCACCACCAGGATACAGGCGAAGAAGAGATAGTGGTTGTAGACAAAGGAGAGACGGAACCAGCTACTATGGGCCTGTCGGACACCTTCCTGCCGTAGATCCCTAGGGAACAGTTTGAAGGTGAAAAGAAATGTTAGTTTCAGAGAGAAACCTTTATGCTGATTTAAAAGGCCCAGTGATGTCAGCCCATTTATTCCATCCACGCAAACATTCTATGATATAAGCTCCATTGAGCAAGCAAAGCTGAAGCATGCCCCCAACCCCAGGGCTGCTGTGTGATTCTTTCTATACCTTCCTTTCCAAGCCTAAAGAGGACGCCACACAGCCCTAAATCTTCCAGAATCTGGGGACAAAATCAGAACGCAAAAAAGTGAACAGTAGGGCAAGACTGGTCATTTATAACATTAGTCTTAACCGCGGCCCCTTAACACTCTGACCTAACAGTTTGTAAATGAAGTACTAACAAGAAGAGGGTGGTCCCTGAATCCAATCAAGAAATCAGCCCTAGCCAGTTTGGCTCAGTGAGTAGAGCGTCGGCCTGTGGACCGAAGTGTCCCGGGTTCAATTCTGGTCAAAGGCACATGCCTGGGTTGTGGCTCGATCCCCAGTGTGGGGCATGGAGGCAACCAATCAATGATTCTCTCTCATCATTTATGTTTCTCTCTCTCTCTTTCTCCCCTTCTCCCTTCCTCTCTGAAATAAAAAAAATAAAAAAAATAAAAAAAATCACACACACACACACATATACAGGCAGTCCTCGGGTTACGTCGGACTCGACATACTCGTTTCATGGTTACGTTGCCATCTCCCATTTATTTATAAAAAAAAAAGTTCCATCATTTGGACGTAAGTACATATGTGCTTTATGTTTTTTATTATTTATTTACCACAAGTAAAGGTCAGGAGTTTAAATTTTTTTTACTGTTTCACTTCATTACTGCTGTGTATGTGCTCCATGTGAGTGACGTAGGTGCTTATGTAGGTGGGTTCCAACCTACAGCGAAAATCGCGTTACATCATGCCGTAGGAACGGATCTCTGACGTAACCCGAGGACCTACTGTATATGAAATCAGAGTATGTCTAAATCTTTTTTAAAGGTTACTATGCGTTCTGAAAATTTAGATTATGGCTAAAGAAAGCTGTCGTCTGATCAATTCTATTGTAATCTGGACAAACATTAAGACACATGGAAAGCTAAGTGCAGTGGTCTGCCTGCCTGTCTGGAACAGAAGCCCTTCTCTGGTGGTCCAGATAAAAGATCGGTTTTTGTTTTGTTTGAACTGCAGTGTTACTGTTTTTAAATGTGACTCTCAAAACTGAAAGACTGCATATAAAATCTGGACTTCTGGCTTCTCTTGACAAATGAGAAGTGGCAAATGCTGGGCCATCACTTCTACATGATACAGGCCAGCCCTTCGGGGAGGGCACACACTCTCCAGCTCCCCACTTCTCTAACTTCTATCAACTACAAGGCTTTTGACAGTATTGAGTTTAGTAAAACAGGCATCAAAAAATAAGAATTCATTTTAGTTTTGAAATAATCCAGGGAGAGAGTACCTAAAGATTATCCCAAATACCTTCTGGTTCACAACAGCAAGACATCAGACCATGATTGTGTGATGAAAATTTCCCCCCTCGGAGCATCTCGCACCTTCTGCTGGAATTTGGGCCCACCGAAAGCCTTCGAGGCAGTGGCACCATCTCTAGCCTGGCACTGGTCATTAGGAGAGATGGCTCTGGACAGACAGCCTACCCCAGTTTTCTGGTCAGATATGTTTTCCAGGGTAATTTAAGAATGCCGTTTTAGTTTCTCAGTATCTTGGAAGTGGTTAGTGAGAGCTCAACCCTAAAGATTGATTTGTGGTGGATCAACAAATAAAACTGAATTTCTGAAAGTGCAAAGCTGAGGAACGGACTCTAGACCCGTAATGCTCAACCTTCTTTCTGTTTCAACATAGTAAGAGCAGTCCACCTGGTAGGAATAAAGCAAGTTTGCTTGCTTGTTTGTTTGTTTGTTTGTGGGAGGTGTCGCTTAAGAAACCTATTCTGTCTACGGCCATACCACCCTGAACGCGCCCGATCTCGTCTGATCTCGGAAGCTAAGCAGGGTCGGGCCTGGTTAGTACTTGGATGGGAAGAAACCTATTCTGAGGCACTAACTAAGCTATTCTGAGCTCAAGATGCCAGCTTTGTTAGTCCACCTTACCTGAGTGGTAGGAATCGTGTTTTATACAGAATGGCTCCCAGCGTCCACTGAACCTCCCGGTCATATACCAGCTGGGCTGTCCGCAGGTTTGGGTAGTCATAGGGAAAGTGGAATCCTTCATGAAGGACTTGGTACATCCAAGCCGATTTAAAACACTGATATCTGTGTGACAAAAATAACTCATCAATAAAATTTTACATTAGAAGTAAAACAATTCTAATACTTTCCTTTGCATACTCCCACTGATGTCAAAAATCTCTCTCTCCCAGCTTCACCCTCCTCACCGCTAGGTGGAGCCAAATTTGAGTCTACTTTAACAACATTTACCACAAATGTGAAGAACACCTTTCTGCAGTAATAATATTATGGCTATGTTTTTCTTTTCTTTTTCTTTCTTTTTTTTTTTTTTTAAGAGTTCTTATCTTCAGATAACATGCTGTAATATCTACATATGTAATTATGAAGTTTGGGATTTGCTTCAAAATAACCCAATTATGACAAGAAGGGAGTTGTGGGTGGGAAAATAGATGAGACAAGATTAGCCAGTAGAGAAGCTGGGTGATAGAGAGGTACACAGAATTTCACTGTACTATTTTTGTTCATGTGTTTAAAATTTTAAACTAAAATATTTACAAAATGAGAGGACCACTGAACCAAACTGACATTTGTTGAAACTGGGTGATAGTTACATGAGGGTTTATGTTAGTTATGTCTACTTTTCTGCATATTTTGTATTTTAATAAAGTTTTTTTTTAAAAAAAGGCCATCACTTTTTATTTCAAACCACTTGGTGTGAACTCTGGTAACCACTGGTTTCCCTTGGTCTTGCTAAAATAGGCTCATTATTCGGCCCCTATCACTCAGAAAATCAAAATCTGATATATTCAAATTCTCCTTCAACATAAAATCCAATCTAGTATTGCTTGCTTGCTCTCCTTCATTACACTTTATCTACATTTTAAGGCCACATGTAAGGGGGAAAAGGAAATTACTTACTTGAGTCGATGCTCATCTGCATGTGATGAATAAAGGCCATTCTTGAATCTCTGAGTTAGTACTGACCAAGCCATGCCACAGTAGTCCTGGAATGACCACAGAGAAATTGTGCAACATGAAATTGGAGGCAAGCTCTATAAACTTCCCCCACAGTCACAGCTGTTCCATTTCTAAAGTGGCTTGTGGGCTACTAGTTGACAAAGGAAATCATAAATGGCATATTCATTCACTGAACACTGTGCCAGGTCCTGTGCAACGCAAGTCCCAGGACTCAGGCTAGAAATACTCCTTTTTATTCCTAGCACCTCCAAGTCCAGTACAAAGCCAGCCTGAGATGACTCCTAAGCCTCGTAGGTCTCAGAGAGGGGTAAGGTTAGGACCAGAAATATCAACATCAGAACTCGAAGATAGCATCATTCTACTCTACAAAGGACTGACACGAGCAGGTAGAGCAGATGGAACAGAATCGTCAAACACCTAGCATTGCCTCCATGCGATAATTCTCCCCAAAGGAATCATTCCTTTTGCTTTGTTTGTAAACTAACATTTCCTAAATGTCCACTATGTGCCAGGTGCTATTACAGATGCCAGGGGATCTGCAGTAAATACAACAGACAAAAATTTCTGTTGAATTTCTTCATTTCTCAGAAGCTTACATTCTAGTGGCGGGAGACAATCTATAATAATAAAAGCATAATATGCTAGTAAGACCAGACAGCCAAACGACCTTCCAGACATCATTCTGGACGAAGCCCCAGCAGCAGGGCCGAGGCAGAAACAGGGGCGATGGGGAAGGCAGGTGAGCAGTTAGGGGCGATGAGGCAGGCAGGCAAGAAGTTAGGGACAATGAGGCAGGCAGGCAAGCAGTTAGGGGCGATGAGGCAGGCAGGCAGGCGAACAGTTAGGGGTGATGAGGCAGGCAGGGAGAGGGGTTAGAGGCAATGAGGCAGGCAGGCAGAGTGGTTAGTGGCAATCAGGCAGGCAGGCGAGCACTTAGGAGCTAGCAGTCCCGGCTTGCGAGAGGGATTGTCTGACTGCCAGTTTAGGCCCGATTCGGGATCAGGCCTAAACCAGGAGTCAGACATCCCCTGAGGGGTCCTGGATTGTGAGAGAGTGCAAGCCGAGCTGAGGGGCCCCCCTCACCGCCTCCCATGCAAGAATTTCATGCACCGGGCCTCTAGTAACTATACATACATACGTACACATGTACACGTACAGAATGTGTTAAATGACATAAATGCTCACAGGAAAAATAAATCAGGAAAAGGAAATAGGTAATATTGGGGAGGCCTGCAATTTGGCTGTGGTGGCCAGGGAAGGTATCATTGGGAAGATAAAATAAGAGTCAAAGTGAAAAAGAATAAGGGAATAAAAATAAAATCATCTCTTTTACCTGGGAAAGAGAACATATTAAGCCACTACCAACTTGGGCAAGCAGTGGTCAAGGGGAAAAAATCTGAAGTTTTAAAATGAGAGAAAGATTCAGGCCATGGACAGTTAGGGAGCCCTTGGACCAGGGGTGGGCAAACTTTTTGACTCGAGGGCCACAATGGGTTCTTAAACTGGACTGGAGGGCCAGAACAAAAGCATGGATGGAGTGTTTGTGTGAACTAATATAAATTCAAAGTAAACATCATTACATAAAAGGGTACGGTCTTTTTTTTTTTAGTTTTATTCATTTCAAACGGGCCGGATCCGGCCCGCGGGCCGTAGTTTGCCCATGGCTGCCTTGGACGCTGGGAAAGAAAAGGAAATATGAGGATAATCCTGGAGACTGGAGAGGACAAAGCAAACATGAACCAGGTTTTCCTCAATATTTCTTAAGGACTGCCTTTAGGGAACAGAATAGTACACATATTCTTCCATTGGAAGTCTTCCACGAAGAGAACCCTAGAGAATTATAAGAAAGCAGGAAGGAAAAGATAAAAAATATAAGAGAGAACAGCTTCTTCCCATAAATTTCTCTGATAAAAGAGAGATCAGAGAACTGTACACAAAAATTCAAAGTGATGAATCTAAATTAAAGCAAGAACTACAGAAAGCTAGTTGAACTTTTACCTGTCCAGGTAACTAATGATTTAAGCCTATAGGATGCTTGAGTCTTATATATGTTCAAAGTGAATTTAAATTTAAAGAATACTTCCCCCATCATTGTACATTTTTACATCTTTCTAGTATTCTCAGTGACCATATACCACTTCAACTTTTTAATAGCTCAAACCAAGAAAGTGAAAATGGACTTGTCCACTTGTGTGACATCATCTCCAAAAGCACATTACAACTGGAAACACCCAATAGGGAAAAATATCTGAAGATGACACTACTTGGCCACAAACATTAAACAAGACTATTGGTGAGTTAGAGGAAAACTATTAGCTGCCACAACAATTTTGGAGCTGGGTGATACTCTGGCTGAGAGGACACTCTGGGAAGCTAAGCTTAACTAATTGAAGGTAGTATAGCATAGCAAATTCCTTAATTCCCCTAAATACTACACTTCCTCATCTATAAAATAGCAGCTCATAGGGCTCCTGTAAAGAGTCAAGTGAAACCATGCATGCAAAGCTCTTTGCATAGCACCTGAAGCAAAATTAGGCATCCAATAAATAGCCACTGGTGGCCTGAGTCATCTTTCTTCTTATAATTTACCTGAGCAGCCTTGGCAAATGTTGGCCCATGGTAGCGGCCACCGATGCGCAACACATCCTCCGTGCAGTAAAAAAACTCAGAGAAACCGTAGAACTCGCTGTTGTTGAAGTCAATTGGTGACTGGTAGATGCCATTCAGGGAGGCCTGGCTGGTGTTAGAGAGAGCCAGCAGGGGGCTCAGCATTGCCCCACAAGTCGACCAGTCTCCTTTTCCTCGGACATGCAGGACCTGGCTGTTCCTCTCCACCACATCTGTGAGTCCCACGGGCAGGCAAGGATCCAGAAATGGACTGTCAGGGCTCAGACCTGTCTTCTGGCCCAACAACCTATTGCAGTGACAAGAACAAAACACATCACTACTAATCTACTCTAAGAAACACCTAGTTGAAGAAACCTGGCTTAAGAATGTGCTTCATGGATACCTTGTTGCCCCTTTGCATGACCTCCCCAGAAATGAGGATGGAGTATTACCATGTAGTTGAGTCACATGAACATTTAATTTAAGCAAATTCAATTTAGCAAAAAAAAAAAAAAAAAAAAGGAAAAAGAGAGAAATATGGCAGTGATCAATTTTGTTCAACCTTTTAGTCAACATGTGTATTTCCCAGTGTAAAGTAAAACCAGGGGAAGTGGGAGGGACTGGGGAGTTTCCTCAGGAGAGGACCTGGAGGGGTGCAGTGTCAAAGGCTAGCAATAGTGCCCTGGCCGGTGTGCCTCAGTTGGTTGGAGCATCATCCCATACACTGAAGGGACATGTACAGGGGGCAACCAATTGATGTTTCTCTTGCATCAATGTTTCTCTCTCCCTTCCTCTCTCTAAAATCAATGAAAAACATATCTTCAGGTGAGAATTTTTTAAAAAAATGGCTGGCAATAGTGAGGTACACATGCCTGGCTGTGGCTGGGTAGGGAAGGGCCATCACAGTTCTGGCTAAAGTCTATACTTGCCAAGAGCGACAGTATTCTCATTCCTGAGGAGATTAATATGCAGATCTTGCCTGGATCAGTGGTTGAGCATTGACCTATGAACCAGGAAGTCACAGTTCGATTCCAGGTCAGGGCACATGCCTGGGTTGTGGGCTCCTGCCCCAGTAGAGGGCATGCCAGTAGAGGCAGCTGATCAGTGATTCTCTTTTATCATTGATGTTTCTCTCTCTCTCCCCCCTCTCCCTCCTCCTCTGAAATCAATAAAAATATTTTTTTTAAAAAATGTAGATCTTGCCGAAACCGGTTTGGCTCAGTGGATAGAGCGTCGGCCTGCGGACTGAAAGGTCCCAGGTTCGATTCCGGTCAAGGGCATGTACCTGGGTTGCGGGCACATCCCCAGTAGGAGATGTGCAGGAGGCAGCTGATCGATGTTTCTCTCTCATCGATGTTTCTAACTCTCTGTCTCTCTCCCTTCCTCTCTGTAAAAAATCAATAAAATATATTTTAAAAATAAAAAATAAATAAATAAATAAATAAAAATGTAGATCTTGGCAGGGATGAAAATTAAGTGCAGACCAAGTAACTGCCAACTGTGGTTAACTATGCATCAGTTCCTAAGCAGACAGACATGAAGAGTGGACTTCCTGAGATGAGGATGCACACACAAGTATCAAGACTGAAAAAGAGAATGGGAAAGTGGCAACACAACAAAATGCTTGGGCAACTGGAACCGATTTTAAGGATGTGACACTAACTATAAGGAAAACTTAGAAAATTGTTTTAAGAAGACAGAACCAGGAAGTTTTGACATCTCAGGAAGCACAGGTTTCTCTGGTAAATTAGCAGCTACACAAGGTGAATAATCGCTTATCTGAATTGCCAGTAGATGACTTAGGTACATGGCAAGAAAATGCCAATGTGTGGGAAGACGATGCAGCCTGTCTAAGTCTGAGGAAGAAAACACCAGATGCAGAAAAAAAGAGCAGCAGAACAACAAGGAAGAAAATGGAAAAGGAAGCACAGTGACTAACGAAGAACAAAACAAAACTGGTGTGAAACTTTCATAATAATTGTTTAGATGATTTCAATGCATTTATCAATTATCCAGGATATTAGGATTCTCCCAAAACTTCTTGAACTCTTACTTACAAAAACTTTAAAGATTTATGAGACAATATTTTTAACGTGCTTCCAACATAATTTAGAGCTGTACAAACTATCATATACCAGTACTTCTACAAATGGGATATATCAATACCTTTTCAAAGTAGTGTTCTTAGCTAAACAAATGGGGGTAAATAATTGTATGGTGAAAAGCACTGCTATCTATTATGCTTTCCTTCAATGTGCAGAATGATAAAATAATTTTAAATGTTTTATTTATTTATTTATTTATTTATTTATTATTTTTGTTGTTATTGTTAATCCTCACCTGAGGATATTTTCCCATTGATTTTTAGGGAGAGTGGAAGAGAGAGGGAAAGACAGAAACATTGATGTGAGAGAAACACATTGACTGGTTGCCTTCTGAATGAGCCCTGACCAGGGCCTGGGCCAGGGAGGAGCCTGCAACCAAGATACATTCCCCTGACCGGAATCAAACCCAGGACCCTTTGGTCTGCAGGCTGATACTCTATCCACTGAGCCAAACCGGCTAGGACTATAAAATAATTTTTAATGCTAAAGAAACCTTCAGCCTGCCCTCCAGCGAAACTGAAACGTATACAGAGCCCAGGGCATTGGAGGGAGCTGAGCAGGAGGAGGGAAGAGGACGAACGTCAAGGCTGAGCTGCTGGAGACTCAGACCCCATGAGCATCCCCAGCGGGCTCCCGGGGCCCGCAGCACCTGTGAGCCACACACACACACACACACACACTCACTCACTCACGCCTGCCTGTGGCCGGGAGGTCACACCTGCCTCATCTCAGCGTCCAACCCAGTGAATTTCCCCAACCGCAAAGGCATTTCTGTTCTAAGCCGTAGCCCCACTGATCCTTCCTCTCACCCCATCCCCAGAGCCACTGGGACACCTGCCACTATGACAGCTCAGGGCAGGGGGGGGGGGGGCGCTGGGGGGGGGGGGGCGGGGAATGGCACGCGCCTGTGGATCTGGGGATCACAAGCTTTTTATCAAGAGGAAAGACAAGCATCCGTGCAGATTAAGTGGAAATCCAGGCACCGCGAGTGTTAAGTGCAAAATCAGCAGCTTGAAGACCAAGTGGCCCACAGTTTCCCAGGATCCTCTGAGCTCAGATGGTCTGTTCCCAAAGCCGCGGAAATGCCCAGGCCTTCTGGGATGTAGGGGCACCTAGACATCTCCCAGGCTGCCTGTCCCTTCTGGAAGCCACACAAATCTTTTTTTTTTTTTTTCCAGATAATTGGGAAACTGTGGTCCCTAACACCCAGGGCGGTAAGAATGAGGTGGCCAAGCAAGTCCCCTGGAAGGGGAAGGAGGCAGGTGAGCCAGGCTGAGGAGCTGCCAGTGATGGGCTCCCTCCACAGGAAGAACGATATGAAAAGGCTGAGATGAAAGCCATGTTCCCGAGGGCCGTGGAGGTCCCTGGGTGCTTCATCATCCCCTTGTTGGGTTCCTTAATCTGTTCACACGTTTGCTAATCATCCCTGCAATTACTCCTTTGAATGAGCCATCTGTTTCCTGCCAAGATCCCAGTGGAAGAGTGAACTAAGCCAAGAGGAAGAGGCGGGGCCCCGATCCAGGCTGTCGAAGAGACATCACTACAGTCACTGAGACATTGGGAACAGGAGGATTTGACCAATCGTTTGCACAACCAGCCAGTGGGTGAACCTTTGGTTTTCCGACCAGGCAGCCAAGTTCATCACAGATCTTCTAGCGACCAAGAGCCCATCTCTCAACCGGAGTCTCCCCAATCCCGAGGCCCAGTTGTAACTCTATGGAGGATCGGCTGCTAGTAAGTCAAGAAGTCTGTAGCCCAGCCAGCGTGGCTCAGTGGTTGAGCGTTGACCTATGAACCAGGAGGTCACGGTTCAATTCCTGGTCAGGGCACAAGCCCTTGTTGCAGGTTCGATCCCCAGTAGGGGGCGTGCAGGAAGCAGCCTATCATTGATTCTCTCTCACCATTGATGTTTCTATCTCACCCTCTCTTTTCCTCTCTGAAGTCAATAAAAATATATTTTCAAAAAAGAACTCTGTAAAAAAAAAAAAAAGAAAGAAACCTTCAATTGTTTGTACATTATGGCCTAACTACTTTATCTGGTACTCAAACAAACAAACAAAAAAATCAGTGATCTGGTCCATGCTGAAGGAAAACCTGCCATTCTAGAAATAATAAGAGAATAACTTAAAGGTTAATTTTGCCTACACATGCTTTTTATCTTTTAAGCGCACTACTGAACCTAACTCCCCGCAGAACATGCAACTACACTATAATTCAACAAGCATGTCTTGAGCATTTCCATGTAGAAGGAACTGCTAGAATCTATATTATACTGCACATTTAAAATTAACAACTTAATCTCGATCCCGTGAGGTCTGAAGTGAGACACAGCAAGAGGTCACCACAATAAGCTGCTGTATGAATCCTTTTTTATGAACCCTATTATGTAACAAAGATCCGAATGCACTCTCACCCAGATCATCTACCAGAGGGTCTCAACTACCGGAGGGTCTCTACGAGATGCTACCCCATTGGCAGGGCTGGTCAGGAAGGAGAAAGCAAGGACGTATCTAAGTAGGATATGAATATTTCTAATATCTGCAATCTGACAACATTCTATTTCAGAAGCACAGGCCCCATGTCAAACGTACTTGTTTTTGTTAAGAGTTTCATTCAGCACAAGGTCTTCATAGCGCTGTCGGGCAAAGTTGCCCCCAAAACCCAAAAAGGTGGTTACGTAAACCCTATATACATGTTCAGTGTGATGCACATCACAGCCCAGGTTGAATTCAGCCAGCAGGATCTTCGCAGCCTCTTCCTGTAATACAATGAAAAGGGAATTTTAGTTTAGGTTGATTTCTAGAAAGCTATGAGATTGTTATACATCAGGCTTCATTTGATATGACTACTCTTTAAAATCTCTTGTAACATTCTTTCATCCTCATAGCATTATTTTAAACAAAACCATAAAGTGACAAGACTGTATAAAAAAGAACAAATCAGGGAGGCTAAATACCAAGTTAGAGACTAAAACACAATTTATAGTTATACAGAAGGTAGAAATACTACAGATGTCATTATCTTGCATGTACTTTTCTCATTTTCCAATTCTCTAAAATGGGAATGCACTGTTTTCATAGTTAGAAAAAAATCCTTTGAAAAAAATAAATTTAAGGAATTTGGGAAATCATCATGAGATGTATTCTATGGCCTTTTCTGAAACTATTCAAGAAGTCCTAATGTTCCCTGTAACACTGGAATTGGGAAAGTTCAATTTTATTGTACCTCCACTGAAAAGGTGCTCTATCTATCTACTTATGACTAATAATGAATATGAAGTTTCACTTGGTTGCATAATTTTGTGAATGGTATAAAAAATACATTAGGCATTTAAGATTAAGTTTTTATTTTTATATTTTCATTGATTTCAGAGAGGAAGGGAGAGCGAAAGAGAGATAGAAACATTAATGATGAGAGAGAATCATTATCAGCTGCCTCCTGCACGCCCTCTACTGGGGATCAAGTCCACAACCCAAGCATGTACCCTGACTGGGAATCGAACCAGTGACTTCTTGGTGCATGGGACGACGCTCAACCACTGACCCACATTGGCCAGGGCTCAACGTACATTCTTTACATTCTAGTCAGGATAAGAAATATAAGAATGAAATCATTGGTAATAAATGATCATTTGGTAATCATTTAATGAACAAGGGAATAAATTTAATGAACAAGTATGTACTGAACACTGTGCTCTGGGATGTATATGCATTATCATGTTTAACTCTAAGGCAACTTTAGGAGACAGGCAGTATACTTATAATTGCTAAAATGTATTAAACATTTATTATGTGGTTGGCAGTCTGCTTAGTGCTTTACACTCATGGATGTATTTCATCCTCACAACTTTATGAAGTAGATATTGTTGTTGTTCCCTTCCTACATATTAGGAAACTAAGGCTCAGAGAAAGAACACAAGCTCGCAAGTCTCTGAACAAATATTTGTACCCAGGCAAGTTGGTCTACATCCAAAGACAGTGCTCTTCTTCTTTAAATACTGACATTCCCAGGGACTTTCCCTAAAAGGTAAAATACCTGTTTTGGAGGAAGGACTGAGGTTGAGGTAGGAACTTCATAAGCAATTTGGAGAGAGGCTCCTCCCATATCCAGTATTCCTACTGTCCTTCTGCGTCCTGCTGCCAATTCCTGCGGGGCTTCAGCATCTGATTCTAAAATAAACAAGGGAACAGAAAGGGTCTAGTAATTTAAAACCGAATTAAGTCAAAAAGGGGGGGAAAGGCAATCCCTTAAAAAACTGAAAGCAAACTGAAAGAAATTAATCTAACTGTATCATTTCAAGTGAGTTAAAACATGGTATTTTGATCATATATCCCTTGTAGAGCATATCTTAATGACAAAAGAAACAAATAAACATCTTAAGCCACATTCTAATAGTCTTATTGGTAATATTATTGATATTATTTTAAAACCATTAAACATGTATTATGGAATAAAACAAATAAATATTATGTTAACATCTTTAGGAACAAATATTCAGCATAAGAGAAAAGGGATAAAAGTATAAAATCAAAGAAATTAAATAATAATCTTATAACCTTAAATATGAATTGAAGATATCACTATGAACGCATGAATTGTTTTTCTCTTTTTAAAAAGCACATACTTCCTAGGCCTGAAAGCAATGTTAACACAGGAGCTTAATAAGCACCCTGGTATTTAGACTACAGCCTCTAAATACCATTTTCCACAAAAAGAAAACAGGGGTCCTTTTTAAAAAATGGTTGATATCAGGTCTAGGATAGAAAACATGTAACATGAGCATGGACTACCCAGTGTGCCAAACAGTACCGGAAATAGAAAACTACTAGAGGCCCGGTGCACGGATTCATGCACCGGTGGGGTCCCTCGGCCTGGCCTATGGGGATCAGGCCGAAACCGGCTCTCCGACATCCCCTGAGGGGTCTCAGATTGTGAGAGGGCACAGACCAGGCTGAGGAACCTCACCAGTGCATGACCAGGGCCAGGGAGGGACCGTGGGAGGGCTCCAGGGTTTGTCCGGCCCATCTTGCCCAGTCCCTATCAGCCGGACCTCAGCAGCAAGCTAACCTACCAGTCAGAGCACCTGCCCCCTGGTGGTCAGTGCCTGTCATAGCAACTGGTCAAACAGTCAAATGGTCAGACACTTAGCATATTAGACTTTTATTATATAGGATTGCAATCATATTAAAAGGATACTAGAGCCAACCTAAAGGTGCTCCTGCTCATCAATGATGGTATAATTTGAGCACCCCCAAAAATAGTGATGCACTATAGTCCATCAACTACATTCAAATCCACAAGTTCATAATAATACTGAAGAAATAAAACTTCACTGGTTACTTTTGGAAGCTGCTAGGACACTAACTCATTACTTAAAAATATGATAAACAAAGAGAAAGAACCAAGGATTTATTTTGTCTTTCCCATAAGAACTGTATTTCAGGACAACCAAATAGTTGATGAAGATTTCATTTTATGAAAATTCCAGCTGTTAAATGCAGAAGGAATGAAAGAATTATCAAAACCCTCATTTTGCAACTTCCAGTTAAAAAACAGATCTAAGCATCAGGTCATCAGTGGCTACTAAACCATTAGGTGAAAAGTGAATGGGAAACTTTTATAACAGATTAGGTCAGGCTGACAATACCTGAACCATGAATACCTGATAGGTTTTAACATGGCTAAAAGTGCGACAACCAGACATGACAACCAGACTCCTGATGTGATATAGTAAGAAACATTTAAGCACCATCTATGCTTAATTCTTGTGGAAAGAATTGAATCTGAGACTAATAAGGGTTCTATATCTAATCTCCAGGTTAGAAGATATATAAGGGGATGCGAAACATGTTAAAAACCCCACAAAGATGCAGTCAAAAAAATTTAGAACATGGCAAATTCATTCTATCAAGCAACTAGTTTTTTGTTTTGTTTTGCTTTTAATGAATGATTTGAAAAAAAGATGTGGAAAAGGTTAACTGTTACAGATCAAAGAAAACATATCAGTGAAACAAAGTCTGTGATTCTTGTTCAGATTCTGATTTGAAGAAGATAGATACAAATAAATATTCTTGAGACAATCAGGGAAGTCTCTACCTGGGTATCAGATGGGTATTACATACTAGGAATTGTTAATTTTGTTAAATTTAAAAGTGGCATTGTGGATATGTTTTTGTTTTGTTTTAGCAACTCCTTATCTGTTAGAGATATATAGTAAAGAACATCCTATATAATAAAACCCTAATATGCAAATCGACCGAATGAAGGAACGACCGGTCACTATGACGCACACTGACCACCAGGGGGCAGACGCTCAATGCAGGAGCTGCTCCTGGTGGTCAGGGGGAGCATCACTCAGCCAGAAGCCAGGCTCATGGCTGGCGAGCACAGCGGTGGTGGTTGGAGCCGGCCTAAGCCGGCAGGCAGACATCCCCCAAGGAATCCTGGGTTGCGAGAGGGCACAGGCCTGGCTGAGGGGTCCCCCTCCCCCAGTGCATAAATATTGTGCACTGGGCCTCTAGTTAAGGAATAATGATGTATCTGGAGTTTGCTTTTAAAAATCCAATAGGACAGTTCTTTCCTGCATGCGCGAAGCCACGAGTAGCTCTTGAAACAACTGGCACAAGTGCCACAAGACTGGGGGCAAGAGAAAGCCCTACCACAAAAAAGCAAAAAAATGAGCTGGGATGCCCTGCTGCCCCCACACTAAGACTGGCCCCCACCGCACTCACACAGTCCACAGGCAGGGAAGCAACAGGAAGTACTGAGCCTTGAGGCTGGACATGAACAACTTCTCCTGGGGCTCCGAGTGTTGTACATGACAAACAAGGATTACTGATCTTGTCTACATGCATCCAACAATAAACTGGTCCACACCAAGCCCCAAGTAAAGAACTGCATTGTGCTCACTGACAGCACACCATACTAACAGTGGTACACTGCCCCTGGGCTGCAAGAAGGAAGCCAAACAGACTGAGGAGGAATAAATTTTAAACAAAAAACAATCAAAGAAAATTCAAAAGAATTCTGATGAAAGGAAAAAGAATACCAAAATCAGCACTTTTCTCATGAAGCAGTTTCAGCAGAACAAGCTTCTTGCATGCATCATTTCAAGACCAGACCAGTGTGGCCAGGCAGATGACTGTATGCTGCAGGGCAGGAAGTTGGAGTTCTGAGAAAAATCCAGGCCCAGAAAGGCAGCCCTGGCCAGGTGGCTCAGTTGTTAGAGCATCATCCCATAGACCAAAAAGCTTGAGAGTTTACTCCCTGTCAGGGCATATACCTAGGTTACAGGTTCGATCCCCAGTCGGGGCACATATGAGAGGTAGCCAATCCATGTTTCTCTCTCACATCAATGTTTCTCTCTCTCTCTCTCTCTCTCTCTCTCTCTCTCTCTCTCTCTCTCCCTCCCTCCCTCCCTCCCTCCCTCCCCCCCTCCTTCCTCCCTTCCTCTGTCTCTCAAATCAATAAAAGAGAATGCTGCCTCGCACAACCACTTCAAAAATACAACTAAAAGACGGAACGGACATCACCCAGAACCACAGGAAAGCTGGCTGAGGGGAAATTCTTCAACTAGAAGGAAAGAGAACAGCATACCAAGACTCAGAGGAGGCGCAGTGCGGAAAATACAAAGGTGCGGAGGTGCGCGCGGAGCGGGCTGGTGGCTGAGGGTGCGGTTGTCGTTTTCAATCGGGAGGGAGGCTCAGGCCCTGAGCTCCAGTTCTGGGTGAGTCTCTAGGGACCCAGACTCAAACGGGAGAAGCGGGACTGTCTGGCATCAGTCGGAATGCGAGGGCAGCTTTCTCTCCGAGGTTTGCAGCGGTTGCTGGGACTCTGAGAGGCAGAGCCTCTGGGGATGGGACTGAGAGCAGCCATAACTGCTCCCTCCGCCCGCCCTGTTGATCCCATGCAACCCGCCCCGCCCAAGCCCTGCACAGAGCCATTTGCTGGATAGCCTCAGGCAAAGGCCAGATTAGCACCTCCCCAGAGGACAGAAGTTTTCCCACTGCAGACACAGCTGACTCTCACAGCCAGTTGGCCTGGAGGTCAAATCCCCCCAGTATTAACTACAACGATCAAGGCTTAACTACAACAAGACTGCGCACAAAGACCACTAGGGGGTGCACCAAGAAAGCATAAAAAAATGCGGAGACAAAGAAACAGGACAAATTGTCAATGGAAGATATAGAATTCAGAACCACACTTTTAAGGTCTCTCAAGAACTGTCTAGAAGCTGCCGATAAACTTAATGAGATCTACAAGAAATCTAATGAGACCTTCGATGTTATGATAAAGAACCAACTAGAAATTAAGCATACACTGACTGAAATAAAGAATAATATACAGAATCCCAACAGCAGACCAGAGGAGCGCAAGAATCAAGGCAACAATTTGAAATGCAAAGAAGCAAAAAACACCCAACCGGAAAAGCAAAATGAAAAAAGAATCCAAAAATATGAAGATAGTGTAAGGAGCCTCTGGGACAGCTTCAAGCGTACCAACATCAGAATTATAGGGATGTCAGAAGATGAGAGAGACCAAGATATTGAAAACCTATTTGAAGAAATAATGACAGAAAACTTCCCCTACCTGGTGAAAGAAATAGACGAACAACTCCAGGAAGTGCAGAGAACCCCAGACAAAAGGAATCCAAAGAGGACCACACCAAGACACATCATAATTAAAATGCCAAGAGCAGAAGGCAAAGAGAGAATCTTAAAAGCAGCAAGAGAAAGAAACTCAGTTACCTACACGGGAATACACATACGACTGTCAGCTGATTTCTCAACAGAAACTTTGCAGGCCAGAAGGGAGTGGCAAGAAATATTCAAAGTGATGAATGCCAAGAACCTACAACCAAGATTACTTTATCCAGCAAAGCTATCATTCAGAATTGAAGGTCAGATAAAGAGCTTCACAGATAAGGAAAAGCTAAAGGAGTTCATCACCACCAAACCAGGATTATATGAAATGCTGAAAGGTATCCTTTAAGAAGAGGAAGAGGAAGAAAAAGGTAAAGATACAAATTATGAACAACAAATATGCATCTATCAACAAGTGAATCTAAGAATCAAGTGAATAAATAATCTGATGAACAGAATGAACTGGTGATTATAATAGAATCAGGGACACAGAAAGGGAATGGACTGACTATTCTTGGGGGGGAAAAGGGTGTGGGAGATGCAGGAAGAGACTGGACAAAAATCGTGCACCTATGGATGAGGACAGTGGGTGGGGAGTGAGGGCCGAGGGTGGGGTGGGAACTGGGAGGAGGGGAGTTATGGGGGGGAAAAAAGAGGAACAAATGTAATAATCTGAACAATAAAGATTTAATAAAAAAAAAATCAATATAAAACATAACCTCGGATGAGGCCCACAAGGGCAAATATATCCTCTTCCCTCCTATCTTAACTCATGTAATAAAGGTGTTTATTGTTCTAAAAAAATCCAATAGGAAAAAAAACTTGTGTTGTATGGAGGAAGTATGGGGACAAAAATGGCAAAATCTTAGTAAGTGTTGAGTCTGGGTAACAGACTCATAGAGGTTCATTTCATTATTTACTCTACTTTTGTGATAGTTTGAAACTTTCCATATTAAAAAGTTAAAAGAAATAAAAGAAAGCAAATTAGGTTGGACAATTTAAGTTTTGGGGGATTTTTGTGTATGTATTTTTTTTTGCGACTTAAGTTTAAAAAAAAGAAAAACAATTCAACATTAGTGCTTATATGCTACTGGTAGGGTATGACTTAAACCTTCAGCCCTACTTAAAGAACTTCATAAGAAAACATTACTCACCATCCACATGGTCGAATCTTCCCAAAACAAAGTTGATTCCAATCCATGCATAAACCCCTAGGAGAGAAACAGAAAAGCCCTCGCTTAGCTAGTTCTCCACGGCTACAGCATGCGTGCACCTCTCTCACACAGGACTGCTCTATTCTCCTTTTCTTGGAAAAAGAGTGCTAATAGTATTTTACTTTACACTCTCAGTGTATTAATATAAAATCTTTTATCTTGTGATGTTTTTCCTTTTAAAACTATTTGCATTTTCTCAATTTCCTACAGTGAATAGGGATTACTGTGTAGAAACAAATATTACACAAAGTAAATCTTAGAATGCTTGTTCTGGACAAGATGGAGTAAGCACATTCCACCAGCCTCCCCACTGAATACAAATATAAACTCTGGAGAGAATGTTGGGGGCAGCTTTCTGAGAAGTCTGAAAGAAATGCCAGTAGACACACTGGAACAGAGATCAGAATTTAAAGAAGCACCAAACCAGTCATGAGCGTCCCATTTTTTTCTCTTACATTGCCTGGCCTGGACTCACAGGCAGCTTGATTGAAACACGAAGTACACACCAGTGTGGACAGAAAGAACTTTAAGTCCTTGCTTTCTGTTCTGAGGAGCAGGAGAGGGGGCTCCAAAGGTTTAGGGAGAGTGGGGAAAATCCCTGCTTTTTTTCCTTAATTTGGTTCTCTCCCACCGGGCAATCCTTCGGCAGCAGAGGTGAATGTTGGGCAGGTTCCTAAAACTCTGAAGGATGTGAGTCCTTCTCTTTGATCAAAGGAACTGTAGCCTTAAGAGTTGCAGCAGCCTTAATCAATTTGGCTCAGTGGATAGAGCTTTGGCCTGTGGACTGAAAGGTCCCAGGTTCGATTCCGGTCAAGGGCATGTACCTTGGTTGTGGGCACATCTCCAGTGGGGAGTGTGCAGGAGGCAGCTGATTGATGTTTCTCTCTCATTGATGTTTCTAACTCTCTATCCCTCTCCCTTCCTCTCTGTAAAAAATATATTTTAAAAAAAAGAGTTGCAGCAAATCCCTATTGCTTATTTCTTCCCCTCTGTCCTCCACCACTTGGCCCTGGATGCAGACACATCATGGGAATGCATGGCAGAGTGGACAAATTAAAACTCTAGCTTTCTAACTGGACTCTAGTTTTCTAACCGGAAGACCATGATAGTGAGTCCTGGGGAACTGGAAAGTGTTGAGGAGATCGTGGAGAGAAGAAATAAAGTGGTGAACTCCTGGGCTCACCTCCAAGCTACACATGCATGGATCTGACTCTAAACAATATATCAAAGTTATTGAGAAGTGAGGTAGGGGCTAGACAACCAATTTGTATGGACTAAGCCCAGGTTCCAGAGTGGCCAACGCCTGACACACGCATGGGACAAATTCAGTAACAGTGCCATGGCTTTGAAAATGAACTAATAGAATCACAGCCCACAGAAGGCAGGTCAGGCTTTGAGGCCAGAACCAAGCTAGGTAAACTGTCTGCTCAAACAAGCAAACAAACATCAATATTCTTCTTACAAGTGAAACAAGACCCAGATTCTCATAATGTAATATTCAAAATGCCCAGGATATAATATAAAATTACTTGGCATACAAAGAACTAGGGAAACTCAACTCATAAGGGAAAAGATGGCCAAAAGATGCCAACCCTGTTATGACAGAGGTGTTAGAATTATCAGACAAAGATATTAAAACAGCTACATACGAAAAAATAAAATCAGCCTTATAATGAATGGAAAGGCAGAAAGTCTCAACAAAGAAATAGAATATAAAAAGACCCAAATGAAAATTTTAAGGCTGAAAAACGCAATGTTGAAATTGAAAAAGGTAAATCTTTTCCCTTATGTAGACTGCAACTAGAACTCTTTTTCAAGAAATGAAATACAATCCATCATATAGGACACAATGAGAACACACATTCAACTCCACCTCAAAACTACAAAGCCAACAGTGTGGGTTTTTAGGAAAGCATCTATACTGCACTGTAAGTGTGAAAAAGGGAGCGCCCATGACAAAAAAGTAACTCATCTTGATCAGTGCCTGAGATTAAAGTTTCCCCTTACTTTTAAACTCATAATTTGCTTTACATTTGAATTTGGCAAACTCAGTACAACCCCTATATGTATGTATGTTTTCAAAACTACTAATAGGTAACCAAAGATCCATTTGGAATCACCACTAAATACTAATACATTCTTATAAACATAGTCCTTAGCACAAAGGTAAAAACAGATACAAATTTATGACTTCTAGAGGGCAGCATTCTAAAGCAAATACCAATGCATAGTGTGCAAATAAACTAGATAGCATAATCAAGAAAAGTTTTTTCAGAAAAATAAAAATCAGATATATAAAATAATCCTAAACACTAGGTCATGGTTGGCTGGGAGGTGAACCAGCGTGCCCCTCAAGGCCCAGTACCTTCTTGCTTCCCAGAGATCACTTCTGCCTGAGACTGTGAAAAGAGGAAGTCAAACTCCAGTGGTAAATCTTTCACTAGGTCAGCCAGGATAGCCAACTGCTTCCTGTAAGAGAGAAGAAAAAGTTCAAAATTAATTGTTAAATTCTCTTCTCACAAAGCCTCATCTTGACCTTCCTCATAGCCTTGTTATGACCTTACTGTTCATCCACCCCATCCCTTGTCAGGCGTGCTTTTCTATGGTAGCTCCTTTGATTCCAAAGGTTTCAACTGCCTCCAAAATATAGCCTCTGACTTAAAAGGCAATAGTAATACATTTTCTTTATATAATGTTACAAGTCAGAGTGATGATGAGACTATGGTTCTATGCCTCTCACAGGCTACATAAACCGCAGGAAGGTGAAGTACAGTTTTGCAATCTATAAAACAGCTATAATTACATGACTCCTAACTACTATGAAAGAAAGCTGCTACACTGTGGAGCACAGTCTCAGTAACAATGCCTCACTTCTCCACACAAGCAGCACTGTCAGGCCACAGGTTTTTACATAATCCTGCACATAAGCTTACAATAAACTTTTAATCTCCTTTTCTATATTTCATTGTTGAATTATTTTTCTTTATAGAATCTTATCATTTGAGAACCCCAAATCAGGATCAAAATCCAAAGATTATAACAACTTGGGATTAACATTTGAAGCCTAGTATCCATAGGGTAGTTTTTCCTAGTGTTATATCATCATGTTATCAGACAAAGAGCAAAGAAACAAAGCTAGAAGTAATAATAAGAATCTAGAGAAAAATGTTGGTTAAAAATAAGACCAATGCCCTGACTGGTCTGGCTCGGTGGATAGAACGTCGGCCTGCGGACTGAAGGGTCCCAGGTTCGATTCCGGTCAAGGGCATGTACCTTGGTTGCGGGCATATCCCCAGTGGGCGGTGTGCAGGAGGCAGCTGATCGATGTTTCTCTCCCATCGATGTTTCTAACTCTCTATCCCTCTCCCTTCCTCTCTGTAAAAAATCAATAAAATATATTTTAAAAAAAAAAGACCAATTATTTTGTATTTTTAAAATTACTCATTACAAAAATATCCTATGGGCTTAGATAGTTGTCAGCATGACTTAGTAAAGTATGTTGTTAGCACTTCAAAGCGAAGAATTTAATGTAATAATCTTCCAATATAAGTATAGTTTCTTCAAATATAGTTTCTAAAAAAAATTCATTGTTATACATATAAAACTCATGCAACGTGGATTTCACATTGGGAACAGGAGATGCTATTTCACTCTCCCTATTGGTTATGCTTCTTAAGTACCCAACGAAGAGGGCTTGCTTGTTTTAGTCATGCTATGAAAGAAGGGGCAACATACACTGCTGTTTGGAATGAAAATTACTGGTACAACCTTTCTAATGGGCAATCCAGAACTACTTATCAAAAATTTTAATGTCCTTAATCTTTGCCCCACCTATTACACTTTTGGAAATTTATTGCAAGGACATCATCAAATCCTATCTAATAAAAGAGAAACATGGTAATTAGCTGTAAGTCCGCTACCCTTCCCATTGGCTAATCAGGGCGATATGCAAATTAACTGCCAGCCAAGATGGCAGCTGGCAGCCTGGCAGCTTGAAGCGAACATGAGGCTTGCTTGCTTCAGTCACGGAGGACGCCAACGTTCCCCGCCTGCCACTGCAGGCCTCTGAGCTTGCAGTTTGAAACATTGTTACAAATATAGAAGCTAAACAAAACCCCAGAAACCTGCTTTCAGCCAGCCGGGATCTCAGAGCTGGAGTTGAAACAGTGTTTCGATTATAAAATCCAAACAAACCAGATACCTGCTTTCAGCAGGCGAGGCCTAAGAGCTGTAGCCAAGCCTCAGATCTAAAGCTGGCCCAGAATAAAAAAAGAAAAAAGAAAAAAAGGAGCGGTTGGGAGCTTCAGTCACCCGCCAGCCTGAAAACAGCCCTCAGCCCCTCACCCAGACTGGCCAGGCACCCCAGTGGGGACCCCCACCCTGAAGGGTGTGTGACCAGCTGCAAACAGCCATCATCCCCTCATCCAGGCTGGCCAGGCACCCCAGTGGGGACCCCCACCCTGATCCAGGACACCCTTCAGAGTAAACCAGCCGGCCCCCACCCGTGCACCAGGCCTCTATCCTATATAGTAAAAGGGTAATATGCCTCCCGGCACCGGGATCAGCGGAGCCGCGAGGCCTCCCGGCACTGGGATCAGCGTGACAGGGGGCAGCGCCCAAACCCCCTGATCACCCTGCGGCTCTGTGTGTGACAGGGGGCGGGGCCACAACCTCCCTATCCGCCCTGCTCTGTTCGTGACAGGGGAAGGCGTCCCAACCCCCTGATCAGCCCTGCTCTGTGCCTGATAGGGGGGAGCTCCCCAACCCACTGATCGCCCTGCGGCTCTGTGTGTGACAGGCTGCGGTGCCCCAACCCCCTGATCGGCCCTGCTCTGTGTGTGACAGGGTGCGGCACCCCAATCCCCCCACAGGCCCTGCTCTGTGCGATGGGGTAGAGCCATAACCTCCCATCAGCCCTGCCCTGAGTGTGACAGTGGCGGCGCCCCAACCCCCTGATCTGCCCTGCTCTGTGGGTGATAGAGGGTGGCGCCCCAACCGCCCCCCACGGGCCCTGCTCTGTGATGGGGTAGAGCCATAACCTCCCCATTGGCCCTGCCCTAAGACAGGGTGCGGCGCCTCAACCCCCTGACCCGCCCTGCTCTGTGTGTGACAGGGGGCGGTGCCCCAATTCCCCTATCGGCCCTACTCTGTGAGTGACAGGGGGGAGCTCCTCAACCCCCTGATCGGCCCTGCTCTGTGCGTGACAGGGGGTGGCACCGCAACCTGCCCATTGACCCTGCCTTGAGTGTGACAGGGGGCGGTGCCCCAACCCCCCAATTGGCCCTACCCTGAGTGTGACTGAGGGTGGCATCGCAACCTCCTGATCCACCCTGCTCTGTGCATGACAGGGGGTGGCACCCCAAATCCCCAATCAGCCCTGCTCTGAGCCCGACCAGGGACTGCACCTAGGGATTGGGCCTGCCCTCTGCCACCCAGGAGCAGGCCTAAGCCAGCAGGTCATTATCTCCCGAGGGGTCCCAGACTGCGAGAGGGCACAGGCGGCTGAGGGGACCCCTCCTCCCCCCCAAGTGCACAATTTTTGTGCACCGGGCCTCTAGTAAAAATATAAAGAGGAAAAATACTGCAGCATTATTTATAACAATGAAAAATTGGAAGTAGCCTAAATTACATCAATAGGAATTTGTTAAATTATTTACAGTACATCCACACAATGTAATACTATACAGATTTTAAAAGAAATGAGGTCAATTTATATCTACATGTATTGACATGAAAATTTGTCCAATATATTTTGAGTTGTAATGGGTTACAAAACAACATATGCTATGATTCCAATTTATATTAAAAAACAAAACACTAACTTTCATTTTCTAAGTTGTTTTTTTAAAAAACGTTTAATGGCTAAATGTTAACAACTGTTGAAGCTGGGTTAATGGGGATTCATTACACTGTTCTCTCTACTTTTATATATGTTTGAAATTTCCCATAATAAAAAGGTTTTTTTCCCCTTAAGTATCACCTTGTATTATCTTTATAATTTTTAAAAGGCTTTTTTATTACAAAATAAAAGGTTGGTGAAACAGTCTACTAGTCCAGGCCTTTGCCAAAAAAATAAAACCTAGTGCCAATAAATTCAAAATACAGTCCAGCTGATTTAAATCCATGTTGAATACTGCTTACAAATGCTAACAAATTAGTAAAACATCGTTAATACAAAACAGGTTTTTGCAGTGGTAGTTACACTTACGTTAATAACTACAGTTGCTTTAGAGGTAGCAATGACTTCATAACCCAGGATACAGTTAGGCATTATTAAAAGAGGTGATCAAAAAAAAAGTTAAAAGAAAAGGCAAGTTCGTTAAAAATTCTTAAGATAAAATAGATATTAATGTTCAGAGCTTCCACGCTGACAGTTAACATTTAGACAAATGAAGTAAAACAACATAGTGGGGTTTGCTGGGACAGAATTTTTTGACAGAGTGCCAGGAGATGAGGCCATCCTCTCCTTTGCTCCAGACACACAAAACGTGGCCAAACCATCGCCCTGCTGGTTGTCTAATGTTTTACCTCCAAGTCAGTTTTCCTCTGGCCCTCCTACCCACTCCTTCACGGTGAGACATAAATAAGGCTATTCACAGACTTGTGATGTGGCACTACTGTGTTATCTAGACCAGCGGTCGCCAACCGGTGGTCCGCGGGCTACTGGTGGTCCGTGAGGTCCGAAAGGTTGGCGACTGCTGATCTATACTCTTCCCTGGGTTTCTAAAATTTTGAACAATGTAAATATTACTTATGTCAAAAACAAAAATTCTAAATTGCATGCACAGTATGATTGCAACTTTGTAGAAATTACATACAGAGAAAAAGGGAATGTGACAAAATGAAACAGTTTGATAGAGTAGTATGATTGTAAGTGTTTTGTTTTCTGTTTTTTTACTTTTAAGATTTCCTTTAAAGCTGAAACTGGTTTGGCTCAGTGGATAGAGCGTCGGCCTGCGGACTGAAGGGTCCTAGGTTCGATTCCGGTCGAGGGCATGTACCTGGGTTGCGGGCACATCCCCGGTGGGAGATGTGCAGGAGGTGGCTGATCAATGTTTCTCTCTCATCGATGTTTCTGACTCTCTATCTCTCTCCCTTCCTCTCTGTAAAAAATCAATAAAATATATTTTTAAAAAAAAAGATTTCCTTTAATGATGTACGATTGCAGGTATAATAAAGTTTGGTTTTAAAAATAAGTTTAAAAAAGAAAATTTTTTTAAAGACCAAGATAGATGGGAAAATAAGGAGCTAGAAGGCCTCCCAAGTTGATGAATGGCTGTATAAAATTATCTGCTTCTTGACAGCAAACCAGATAGTAAACCAGTAGCTGCATGTCTCAACAGAAGGAAATAGTCTACTGAAAGAAGCGCTGACATATGTTATATTGTCTGGCATGTCTGGCATAAGCAGCATGCAGCCTTAAATGTATAGCTGATGTTTCATTGTTGGCCAAGTATACAAAATGAAACTGTGAAAAAGGGAACTGCTGTTTACCAAGAAAAAATGCCTGATGCCTGTGAGATGATGAACATTCTAGAAGGATGAATTCTAAGTTAAGGGAGCTCACTCCCATCCCATGATCATGTATCTGTGGAGGGGCCAGGGAAGTGCTCGAAGGGGAGACATCACAAAGAGGGATCTGGCCCAAGTATAGCCACTGCCTCTTCCTCTTCCTCCTCCTCTTCCAGTAAGGGAAGCGGGATCAGATAGCAAGATGCCAGGCCTAACTGCTATGGTCAAGTGGAAAAGACTTATCTGGCTGGGCTTGAAAAGACTTGTCAGTGTAGCAATGAAGCCTGAGCTTTGCACGTAGCACCAACTATCACCAGGGAGCCAGGCAAAGTTACACAGAAAGCAACATTCCTACCCGAGCCATCCTACTAGCCCCCAGGTACCCGGTCCCTCAGGTGACCTTCCTACTACCATTCTGTTACTATGCTCTCCTTCTGGGTGCCTCATGATCCAAATTTAACACCATCACCACTGCTCCAAACCCTCAATCAAAACTAAGAATCATTACAGCCATCTCAGATAGATATGGATCCCAAAGAAGCAAATGACATAAAGGTGTGAACAATTTCCTGTGAAATCATTGGGTGCAGGGGTATATCTGCCCTATTTTTGAGCAAGGAGTCTTTTAGTGCCACCTGTCAACTCTGTGGTGAATCCACATCCCACCTTGAGACCAGGAAACCACAGGGGACACGCCTGGAATCAGCCTCTCCTCTCTCCTGCCACCCATTTCCGTGTTTCTCAGCCCCTGCATCTCACCTCTCAGGAAGAAGCCTCATGCCCGCGGTGCACAGAATGTAGAGGGGGGTCTCCTTGTGCTTCTTCACAGGCACATGAGCAGCAGCAAAGCTCAGCAGAGGACGAAGGTAATCACTGGCATGTTCAGGAGTGTCTGCCATTGCAGAGATTCCTTCAGAAATAGAAAATACTTTCTTTAAAAAGCAGATCACATGCACTCAGAAGCACTCAGAAACTGATTCCCCACAAGGTTCTGCTTACGGTCCTAAACTTTTATTTAATTGAGGGAGGGAGACAATGAATGAGATATACCACCCATTATCCAGACTCCCAAGAGAAAAGGGTATCTCTTCTCTCCTCTCCCAAGTCTGTAACAGATAAGAAAGATTGACAACAAATATATTCCGGTTAGTACCTGGCTTGATTTTTTTAACCACCGGTTGGCTGTTGCGGTCTCTCATCTGTTTAATGTCCAGCAAATCATGGGGGTTCCCATTATGTCTTGGCCAAAAATAAACAAAAATCCGGGAGCCACTGCTGCCACAGTCCACAACAAGTCCATAATTTAGATTTGGGTCTTCAGTATCAGTAGCTTCAAGCTCCCCTACTCGAGCCAAATACCTAAGCCGGGCAAAAAGACAGCTCAGTGTGAAGAAGCCAGGTCCACAAAAGGCACCACCATTTAATTCATTATTCATGAATCTTCATCAAACGTCTACATATGCCAGGTGCATAGGGCTATGGGTCCTAACAAAGGAGTGAAGCAATACTGACCATATGTCCTGATGTATACGAGGCAACTGCTCATCTGTTTGCCTAGAGACCAATGAAGTTAGATAACTAAAAGACTCCTCCGTGTTTGGGGGAGTCTGAAACTGGTTGTGGCAAGCTCTTCAGAGCATTAAAGAGCTCCTAGGCCCAGGTAAATACCTGGTTTTTGTTGTTATAAGCCACTAACTTCTGCGGCGGTTTGTTAGACACACAAAATAACTAAAATAATTCTAATAATTTCTATCCTTTCTGTATATAAACATAAAAACACTATAGAATGATGTATCACTTGACATGACATGTGTTTTCTGATTTTTATTTTTATTTACTTTTAGAGAGAGAGGAAGGAAAAGGGAGAAGAGAGAGAGAGAGGAAGAGAGAGATCAATGTGACAGAAAACATCAATTGGCTGCCTCCTGCACGCCCAGTACCAGGGATTGAGCGTACACCCCAGGCATGTGCCCTGACCGGGAATTGAACCAGCAAACTTTTGGTGCCTGGGACAACGCCCAATCAACTGAGCTACACTAGCCAGGGCAGGGTGGTGATATTTTCTATGGGACTTTTTGCTTTGCATTTTAAATTGCTACAATTAAAAAATAAATAAATAAATTGCTGCAATTACATGAATAAAAAAATGTATTTCATAAAAATAATAATTGTTCTTTTCTACAATCTCTTAAACGTTTTGTAGCTATAAAAAGAATGTTCATAAAATATGTAGCATAGGATGTAAAGAAGAAGAAAAGAATGCCTGTGTGCCTAACACCCAGATTAAAAATAAAACATTACACTGTAAAACAATAAAAGCTTCTAGGCCCTAAGACGGTACTTTGTGTTGAGATTTTCTTAGATTCTCATCCCAAGACATCTGACTGAGAGCAGGAAGATGAAACCAGTAACAGTTATTACCAGCAACACCCAGGTTTGAGTCTCAGCGACAGCACTGGCCATGCTGCGTGACCTCAGCAAGCTAATGAACTTCTCTCAGACTGTCTCCTCGTCTGCAAGATGCGGACAGGGGAGTCTCCACCCTCAGAGAGGCAGGCATGGGGAGCAGTTAGCACAGTGCTGCGCTGCTGCCGCCACTGCTCTTATCACATAACATTGGGAGAGCAAAGAACAGAAGACTCTGGAGCAAGGGGCTGAAAAATCCAGAAAGAAAAGACAGTTAAGAGTTGGTGAATACTTATGAGCACTAAGGCTAAAAAATATGAAGTTCCCTTAGAGCCTGAGGGTCTGAAAAGGACAAATATTGCTGCCTCCTCAAAAGTTTCACTTGAAAAGGAGCCCCATGAGAATGGTTTTTAGCTTATTAGTCAGTAAAGGATTACTATTCTTGGTGCTAAGAATATATACTGTGTGGTAGATTAAAATTTTGTCTCAGAAGCCTTTTAAATTTGAATGGGCATCTTTAAAAAAAAAAAAGATTCAACATTACAAATATAAAAGGGGCGTATGCAAATGAGGAACCTTAAAAAATGGAGGTATAATTAGCTTCATAGAAGTGTAGGTATCATTAGCTTTGTAGTAAATCCACCTATGATCAGAACACTAAGCCACATGTCATGCCGCTCAGAACAATCTAGACTGTGTTTACTGGTGATTTCATATTGCTATATAGACCACAAATCCTTACTTTGGACAAAAAAAGAAAAGTTGTTAAAACCGAACATGTAGCCCTGGCTGGTGTTGCTCAATTGGTTGGGTGTCATACCATACACTGAAAGGTTGCTGGTTCGATTCCTGGTCAGGGCACATATCTAGGTTGTGGGTTCAATCCCAGTCCTGCCACACACAAGAGGCAACTGATCAATATTTCTCTCTCACATCAATGTCTCTTCCTCTCTCCCTTTCTCTCTCTCTCTCCCTTCCTCTCTCTCTAAAATAAATTTTTAAAAAATATCCTTGGATGAGGATTAAAAAAGAAGAACATGTAGAAAACTGTTCTAAAACCAAAAAGTAGAGCTGAGTACCTTTCCTATTCTACAATGCAAAATGCATTTTTTTAAAAAGAGAAGAGCCCTAGCCGGTTTGCTCAGTGGATAGAGCATAGAGCATCGGCCTGCAGACCAAAGGGTCCCCGGTTCAATTCCGGGCAAGGGTACCTTGGTTGCAGGCTCCTCCCTGGCTCGGGCCCTGGTCGGGCTCATAAAGGAGGCAACCAATCGATATCTCTCACATCAATGTTTCTCTCTGTCACTCCCTCTCTCTCTTCCACTCTCCCTAAAAATCAATGGAAAAATCCTCAGGTGAGGATTAACAAAAAAAAAGAGAAAGAGAAGAAGATACAGTTAAGCTTCAATACAATGTTGTAAATTATTACATAGTATAGGGTCAGGTAGAACTTTTTTCTGGATTTGATATGAGAACAAGTTATGGGAAATGAAACAGGTGGTAAAAATCTGTTACACACTGGAAAGTTCATAGTCCTAAAGATTACATTTCACCACATTCTTTCCCAGGCTAATCAAATTACTGGGCTGAACTGGGCTCACGATCTACCAATAAACTCGGAACAGCTCACATCTACCACATGAAGGCTGGGCAGCAGTCTGGGTTCATTACAGAACTCTTGCAAATACTGACCTCGAAAGATACCACAGATAGAAAACAGGCAAGATAATTCATTTCCTATCATAGCAGCCCTTGTTGCTCCTGGCTGCTATTTTGCAACTGACCGTTAAGTTAGCTGCAATGAGGAATCTAAAACTTTACCTAGGAACGTTTTATACTCCATAACATTAAAATCCATTGGTTATCTAGCACTTTGAATGACTTTTACCCTTGCATAATTTTGTCTCAGAGACTTCAAAGGGTTAGTAAACACTTTGAGCACCAATGTTCTAATGTGACCTCTTTTTTCTTTCTTAACATCCATCTGCTTCTCTACCTGTTCATTCCCCTTTCTCTTCTTGACATAAGCTTCCCAGTTCTTAAGAAGCCTCCATTCCACAGTGGCTGATTCACGTAGTAGCCACATGATCTGAAAAGGCCTCCATCTTCTGTTGTAAAACGTGGAGTGTCATTATTACCCTTGAGAACTTGTATTGCAGTATGAACCCCTAAGGCTTCTTTCACATATGTTTGCTCTACTTCTCCATTTCGGCTATCAGTTTCTCAAGAGTAGTTATCTAATACGCAGCACCTTGACATGATCACAGTGTCTCTTGAATTTCTCTGATATGTATCAATCAATGCTGATTAGTCTTGTCCTAGAGCTCATGATATAGAGCTATTGCTGTGTTACTAACTCCTGATGTCTTTGTATCGCTATACTCAAAATCAATTGGTCTCCTTTTTAGAAAGTTTCAATGGCTTCCCAAAGCATCCTGTCATCCTCTTTGGTTCCTGTCAAGATAAACAACTTTAAGCTCTAATTTGGGTGCAATTCAGCTTTTCTTTCTTTTCCCTTCGGAATCTACCTGTTTGCAGAAAAATGTCCACTGATACTAGAACACAAGGGAGAAAGATAGGACCAGAGGCATTTAGGTTACACTTCCCATTTGAGTCTTTGATCAGTGCTTCAGGCAACAGAAAACCTCCATTTTTCTCATCTTGCATATAAATAAGTAACTGAAGAATAATTTTCCTTTCTGGAAAGTAATATCACCTCTTTATGGAACTCTGGCATCTTATGACCCATAAGACTTCTTACGCTTATCAAGTACCTGAAGGTCTTCCTCTGGCTAGGCTCCTGACATGGGTGGATGGATGGCTGGGCCTTTTTGGGATCTGCAGTCCTGGACTTAGCCACCATGGTCAATTGCTTGCAATGGTGGACCCTCCTGCTTTGCTGACGCTGCACTAAGTTACGCCCTGAAGGGGAACTAAAGCCCAAGAGAAAAGTCCTAAAAGCCTTGGAGTCCCTCACATCCATCCACCTTCCCAGAGATCTGACTGACCATCACACACTTACCCCTCTCCCCATCACACACATATTTTCTCTGTTTGAGAAACATGACTTCCCTCTGGTCACTGCCGAGTCAATGAAAAGAAAGCTACCCACATATACATCACCCAGGGTAGAACTGGAAGACAGTGGCTTTTCACTTCCATTAGCCTGAAAACATTAACAGCATTAGAGCACTAACTGACCACACCAATACCTAGCTTACAAAAATCAAAACTAATTATACCACTCCTAGAGTTCAAATAGAACTCAGTAGTGCGCCAAAGGTCAGGCAAAGTGGCCCTCATCAGCACGGGGCAACCAGCTCTTTGCTGAATGTCACATACTCTTCAATTCTGTTCAAGGGTCAGAATCAAATATAATGACATTATAGCCAAAGTAGCTGTGCATGACTGATGCTAGTAATACATGCCCAGAAAAGCATCTTGTAAGGTTACTCTTTATCTCCTAACAAGATTTAATCAGGGCAGCCAGGAACATTCATATGTTAAAGCTCTGCTTATAAATACTACAACGGACAAGTAAGAGAATAAATAAATAAATAAATAAATGTGAATTAGTGCCTTTAATCTCTGAATTGTTCTATTGTACATAAGAACACAACTTACCTGAATATCTTAAAGTTAATAAATTTTTTTCTAACCAAAAACAATGCCTCTTTTGACTTGCTTTAAGCAGAAATGAAACTCCTAAGGAAGGCTCAATTTAGCTGTGAACCTAAAACTGCTCTAAAAAAATAACATCTATTAACAAAACAGCTCTGGATTCTATCCTTACTGACATCCCATTGCTCTCTAAATTTGCCTTTCCCTAACTTCTAGTTCTAATGCAAACCACCTCCCTTCTCCTTTCAAACACACTGTGGGTGGGCACATAATAAAGAAAAAAAATGCAACTCCTCAGTTTTGAAACTACTGAGGGGGAAACCCACACACAGGCTTATAAAGTTCTGGGATGCTGTCACCCAGAAGTGATAAGTTAAGTTCCATGAATAGCTGAAAATTTTTTGAATTAAAACATTGTTTCAATACAAAAATAAAGATTTTTTTAAACATTAGCTACTTTCATACATATTCAAATACAAAGATGAATGTGTAACAGAGATTATAATTTCTAATTAAAGCAATGCATCATTTATCAAGACCATAGAATGAATTCAGTGTTCTTATGGGCATATTTTCTTGGTCAAGGTTTTCCAAGCTTACTCCCATGAAGGCACCAGTAAGTACAGTAAGTCCTCACTTAACATCATGGATAGGTTCTTGGAAACTTGGATGACTTTAAGTAAAAGAATATGTAGCAAAACCAGCTGTACCATAGGCTAATTGATATAAACAAGAGTTAAGCTCCTATTGTTTCTGGCCACCAAAACATCACCAACTTCTAAATAAAGCCCAAAACACTTCTAATATTAAACACTGAAATAAATGTAAGCTATACATATATTTAAGAAAGGTTAATAAAAACAAGTAAGATAATCATGCTCCAACCTGCTGATTCCACTTCAGGGTCCCAGGTGGCTTGAGTCCACCCAACAGCTGAGGGCACAAGACGGGAGCCCATTTGGACCTTCCATCAAGGGTACAGTCACACACACCCACACTCACTCAGATTGGGACCATTTAGACCAGCGGTCATCAACCTTTCGGACCTCGCAGACCACCAGTGGTCTGCGGACCACCGGTTGGCAACCGCTGCTCCAAAGGTTTCCTTAGACATCCAATTCACCTCATGTGCACATCTTCGGATGTGGGAGGAAACCAAAGCACCCAGAGAAAACCCACACAGACATGGGGAGGACATGCAAACTATACACAGTGGCCCCAGCCAGGAATCAATTATTTTTTTCTCATCAACATTGAACAAAACAATCTTACTTGAGGACCTGCTATTCACTCTTTGTGGAATATCGCAAATACTGATATAACCCTAGCTGGTTTGGCTCAGTGGACAGAGCGTTGGCCTGTGGACTGAAGAGTCCCAGGTTCGATTCTGGTCAAGGGCACATGCCCAGGTTGCGGGCTCTATCCCTAGTAGGGGGCATGCAGGAGGCAGCCAATCAATGATTCTCTCTCATCATTGATGTCTCTCTCTCTCTCCCTCTCTCTTTCTCTCTCTCCCCCTTCCTCTCTGAAATCAATATATATATATTGATAATATATATATATATATATATATATATATATATATATATATATATATATATATATATTAAAGGCCCAGTGCACGAAATTCATGCACGGGTAGGGTCCCAAGTCCTGGCCAGCGATCAGGGCCAATCGGGGCCTTCCAGCTCCTGGCAGGGCAGGGGCCTTCCTTCATTCCATACCGCCTCCTGGTGATCAGCTCATGTCATAGCAAGCGACTGAACTCCCGTCTCCCGGTCAAACTCGGGAGGGGACACTTTGCATATTAGCCTTTCATATATACGTGTATGAATATATATATATATTTTTTTTCATTGTGTAAATTAGGAACATTTTAAGTAGGAAAAAATAAGACTATATGTATATAATAAAAAATCACAACCACAAACATTAGCTTAAAATTTTTTTATAAGCTGTTGAACTAAAGTGATATGTGTTGCCATAAATTCCTAATTATTTGCTTAATGATTTTATCACCAGCTAGAGGTCACTTGTATTTAAGCAGTAGCTGCTGCCGTAAAAAAAAAAAAAGAAATTCTGGAAGGAAATTTTTTTTTTTTTAAACATATTTTATTGATTTTTTACAGAGAGGAAGGGAGAGAGATAGAGAGTTAGAAACATCGATCAGCTGCCTCCTGCACATCTCCCACTGGGGGTGTGCCCGCAACCCAGGTACATGCCCTTGACCGGAATCGAACCTGGGACCTTCCAGTCCCCAGGCCGACGCTCTATCCACTGAGCCAAACCGGTTTTGGCGGAAGGAAAATTTTAAAGATTTTTTTTAAATTTTTTTATTGATTTCAAAGAAGAAGGGAAGGGGGAGAGAGAAATAGAAACATCAATGATGAGAATGCCCCCTATTGGGGATTGAGCCGCACACAGGCATGTGCCCTGCCTGGGAATCAAACCGTAACCACCTGGTTCATATATTATATTTTTTGCCAATGTGACAAAAAATAGGTATAATTTTGATTCATTCACACTAGACCAGTGGTTCTCAACCTTCCTAATGCCGCAACCCTTTAATACAGTTCCTCATGTTGTGGTGTCCCCCAACCATAAAATTATTTTCGTTGCTACTTCATAACTGTAATTTTGCTACTGTTATGAATCGTAATGTAAATATCTGATATGCAGGATGTATTTTCATTGTTACAAATTCAACATAATTAAGCATAGTGATTAATCACAAAAACAATATGTAATTATATATGTGTTTTCTGACGGTCTTAGGCGACCACTGTGAAAGGGTCGTTCGACCCCCAAAGGGGTTGCAACCCACAGGTTGAGAACCGCTGCAGTTATTGTTGTGTTGGCTATTGTCATTTTTTTCATTTTAACAATCTAAGGGAAAAGAGACCAGTGCCCTTAAAAATTCTTACAGTGCCCAACCGAGTAGGTGTGGCTCAGTTGGTTGGAGCACTGTCCCAGGCACTGAAGAGTTTGATTCCCAGTCAGGGCACATACCCAGGTTGCAGGTACCATCCCAGTTAGAGTATGTAAGGGAGATAACTGATCAATGTTTCTCTTTCTCTCTCCCTCCCTTCCTCTCTCTCTAACAATCAATGAAAACATATCCACAGATGAGGATTAAAAAAAGAAAAGAAAATTATTGCAGCACACCACTTGAAAATCACTACCTTAGAACAATGGCTCTCAACTCCAGCTGCACATTAGAGTCACCTTGAATATTTAAAATAAAAATAAAAACAATATATGGTGGCACTTATATAAAGTAAAACATATGGCAACAATAGCACAAAGGGCAAGGCCAAAAGGGCAGATTCTTACAATATGTGTAAAGTGGTATATTACTTGAAGGTAGACCATGATAAGTTAAAAATGTATACTATAAAGGTTAAATCCTAAAGTAATCACTAAAAAAGTAAAAACAGAGTTATACCTAAGAAGCCAACAAGAGACAAAACATTATATGCAGAGCCCATGGACACAGACAATAGTGTGGTGAAGGCCTGGAGTGGGGCAGGGGTGGGTGGAAAGGGCGTAGGAGGGAAAATGAGGGACATCTGTAATACTGTCAACAATAAAAGTAAATTTTAAAAAGAGAGACAAAATGGAATAATACATATTCAAGTCAAAAGAAGAGAGGGAGAAAAAGAGGGAAAACAAACATAGAACGGATATGACAAGCAGAAAAGAAATAGCAAGATAGACTCAAACTTAAACATAATTGATAATCACATTAAATATAAATGGCTTAAACACCCCAAATAAAAAGCAGACACTGTCAGACAGGATAAAAAGCAAGACTCAGCTAAATGCTGCTACAAGAAGCCCACTTGAAATATAAATACTGAAATAGGCTAAAACTATAAGGATGGAAAAGCACCTGTCACGCTAACACTAATCAAAAGAAAGCTTAAGTACATTAATACCAGACTAGTAGATTTCATAGCAAAGAATATAATGAAGGATAAAGAGAGTCATTCAATAATAATAAAAAGGGTCAATTCATCAAGAGTACATAACAATAGTAAACATTTATGCACTAATAAGTTAGCCCACAAAAACAGGAAAATAGGAAAGATGCCTGTCAAAGTTAAAACACAGAATCATCATTCCTGAATCAAAATTGAAAATTGTCATAGGACAATAAAAGAAGAGAACCTAAAAAAAACAAAAACAACCCTGAAAATTGTCAAGATTGTTATGCAATTAGTCTCATGCAATTTTACTAACAAAAGTACAGTTTCCCCAAAAGGGTCTGTGTACAAAAGGGGCCACATGCTGACCTGATAAGCTCAGGGGAGGCCTGCATGGCAGTCTTGCAAACTCAGAGACCTAAAGTAACCACAAAGGATGGTCTGAAATTAAACTTTAACTAAAAGCAGTTATGGTGGGCAGTTACGTCCTAGGCCAGTATATTCACTGACAAGGTCAACCTTTACCTTAACTGAGCCTATCTGTCTTTTTGCATCTATGATAACATACCCTAGAAATGTCTGGGTAACTTGTAACTTCCCTTTTTCTGGAGCCCCTGGGGCACAACCAAATGTGCTGGGCACCAGGACAGATACCACAAATTCCTTCATTATCATGTTAATTGATCCTGCACCCACCTAAGTATGTGTCCATCATTTTACTTTTTATCCAATCCCAGGGGTTTCCCTGCTTTGCTTTATCCCTCCTCCTTAATCTATCACCAATGAATTTCATGTAACTCACCTATGTCCCTCCTTTGATTGCAATGTATAAATACAAATGTAACCCCGCCATTCTCCGGAGCAATATCTCAATTCGTTGAGGTTCTGCTTCCCGACATATGTCGACAATTTGGCTCAAATAAACTCACAAAAATTCTTTACAGGTTTCAATGGTTTTTTTTTTTTTTTACATTAACAGGTCAAAGGTAGTAATGTGTTAAACAGCTTATCAAAATATTTATGACTTCAATGCAAAGCTGAGGAAAGTGATCTAAAGCTGACTCACCTTTCATATTGCCTATCTCGTGGTAATGAAGCACCCGAATGTCGAAAGTCCATGATTAACATAAGTAGAAGGAGACAGGATATGAAGAAGAGTCCTAGGAATGCCACCCGCTGACGGGAAAATGGGCTCACTGTGGGCACAGTAAAGTACCAGGAGGCTGGGCAGAGGTAGGAAAAACTGATTCTGAAATGAGACAAACATGAGTAAGAAAAGTCTCTACAATTGAGTACTAAAATAGAGTTTTTAAACTGGATTAAAGCCCTTCCTACTAAATGCAAAAATTCATGACACCAGAAACTTAAATGTTCTTCGAGTCTCAAATTTTAGAAAAGGACCTATAGGGTTCATGGTGCTTCTACCATGTAAGTCAGAAAAGCTGTATCTGATCTTTTTCCAAGTCTGCACTTTGGGGTGCAATTCAAAGAATTAATCTTATTTTATTGAAAAGATCGCGTCTCCCTGAGCAACTTCATAACGTTGAAGAATCAGAGCACTACGACATTCCCACCAAAAATGCTGCCAAAAAATTGGGTAGTCAGGAAATGTATTCCACTGATTAAAAAAATATTTTAATAGGTAATACATGCACACAGTAAAAAAAAATCAAACAATTTAAATATATGTGTGTGTGTGTATGTGTGTGTATGTGTGTGTATATATATATGTGTGTGTGTATGTGTGTGTGTGTGTGTGTGTGTGTGTGTGTGTGTGTATACATATAATGGAAAGTGAGTCTTTTGCCCTAATCCAACCATTTCCCTCTCAGAGGCAACCATTACTACCCAGTTTCTATGTATTTTTCCGGGATATTCTATGTATACACAAGCACAGATATATGTAATATATGGTAACACATCCGTGTGTGTGTATGCATCTCCATTTTGTTTTGTTTTACACCTTATATACTGTTCTGCATCTTTCCCCACTTACTCTGTTTGACAACTGTCCCGTATCCACAGATCCACGTTAATCTTTTCTGAACGCTTCAGAGTATTATTACAATGGTTGGACAAGTGTATTCAACTGTGCAGTTCATTTTCTATATTGATTCAAAAGGACCTCGGTCTGTTTTCAAGGTTCATTACAAAATAAAAATCTTTTTTTAACCTAGTCTCACTCAAGTGGAAATCTGAAAGAATATTACAGTCTAACCCTTTCTGAGCTGAGCAAGCACTGACCTGGGCCGAGGGTTAGGGGCTGGAAACTATTGTATCTGCCTTCAAAAGAATGAAACTTTGAGCTTTGCAACCATGTGTCCCGATGCAAAGTCCAGATGCAGACCCAGGACGAGCTTCACTTTGTAACCACCTCCCAGGACCCCTCAACCTGCCGGCCACCCCGCACCGAGCCCAGCTGAGAAGGAAGTGACAGCCTTACCTCGCCATGGGTTCCCCTCAGTGGTCCCAACGCCTGTCACCTCCTTTTCCTTTTGCCCTGAGAAGGCGGTCTCCTTGTCCCAGGCATCTCCTAAGCCTGCAGCCTGGGGAGAGTTGGATGGGTCTCAGGCTTACCTCCAGCAGTGCCCACGAGACCAGACCTCCAGGAGGAGGCCAGGCGCCCACCCACTCCCCGAGCTCCCATTCCAGACACGTCCGCTCGGGTTCTGGGGCCCGGCGGACCCTCTCCGGCTCCCTGGGAGCGGGGCGTGCTCGAGGGCCAGCGGTGTCCGGGAGGAACCGGCAGCCCCCGGGTGGCGGGGTGGGGGTTCCCGCTTCGCTTCCCGTCCCTCTCGGCCCCGCCGCCCTCCAGCACTCACACTCACGGGTCCAGGGGCCCGCCGCTCCTCAGCACCTCTCCGCGCGGTCCCGGGCGAATGCCCACGGTCTCCAGCCCAGCCGGAAGGAGGCCTGCGCCGGCGGCGGCGCCACGTCCCCAAGGAAACCGCAGGGAGCCAATGACTGACAGGGGACCCACGGAAAGGGACCCGCCCTCCGCCCAGCCAGAGCCACCGGCGAACCAGCTTCGTGGGCCGCACGTCCGTCCATCGGAATAGCCAATCCCCAAGAGTGTTCGGCCTCTAACGCCCGCCCCAGGATTCCGAGTGCGTCCAATCCGGAAGGGTGTCGTGCCACGGCCCCGCCCGGAGGGGCCGGCGGAGGGCGCACAGGTGAGCGGTGTGGCCGGCACCCGGACAGCCGGCTCACTCTGCCTTCCGAGCGGCGGAAAGTGTCCGCCGGCTGCTTTCTCCGCGGCTGCTCCCAGGACAGAGCGGCCTCGGTGGGTGGGTGGCTCTCGGGGTGTCTGCGACAGCAGTGCATCCCTTGCCCACAACCTATTGGAGGTTTTGTGTCCACCAGCCCTGCCCAGCAGAATGACAGTTCTTCCAACTCAAACCTGTCCTATAGCCTCCCAAACGGATGCCTTGGCTGCGTTGTTTTGTCCCGCGAGAAAAACATATCAATTGGGGACAAGGACGTCTACACCGAGGCGCTTATACCCATTCATTCAACATTAATTGATTGTCTGCTGTGTGCCAGACATGAGCCAAAACGTAATGTTTCCTTAATGCGGTTTTTCTTTCTTGTTGACACAGCCGTTTCTTTTCCAGGAGGGAGCCGCTCGGAAAGGGTGAAGTCCAAGTCCTTACAAACGTGGCACAGGCATGGCGGTCCACGACCCGCCCGTGCATCATCTCCGCGGCTCCTTACCTCCCTTAATGGGCTCCAGCAGCACCTCTGTGGGTTCTGCCCTCTCTGGTATTGCTCCTTCTGCCTCTCCCCACCCCTGCAGCTGCCTTGAATGTCCTTCCCTGACTTTTAGCAGGCCAGCTAGCCTCACCTCTTGTAAAAGCCGTACTTGACCTACACCCCGTTTACATATACCTGTTGTTTCGCTTACTACACGGAATTGCAATTATATGTATGTGTCTGTCTGTCTGTCCAAATGGACAGAATATCCTTGAGGGCAGGGAGTGTGTGCTTCCACTTCAATGTTGGGCACTGCCTGGCACATAAAATACACTTAATATATAAGTGAACGAATAACTGGAATTAAATGAGGACAACCCAAATGAGAACAAAAAGAGGCTATTTATTCCATGTCTGCTATAACAAGGCAGTCAGCCACCATCATTTGTGTCTGGCAGAGACTCAAAGAGTGTCAGGGGAGTAGGAAGCTAAAGTAAAAGTAAAATGAGGGTGGGGGTTTAGGTTTCCTGTTTGCTTTGATTTGAGAGTATTAGCATGAGGAAGCTGGAGGCGGACTAACCAGAAGCAGGGCACCTTATGTAATGGTGTTGGGAGGCGGGGTGGCGCAGGGCAGGGGGGGGACGTGGGGGGGGGAGCATATTTGGCTTTCTCTAATTGCTTCTGAGTTGGAGGGGGAGGAGCAAAAAATAGGGAAGCAGACAGTCATTGATCAGTCAACAGTTCTGGGCTGATTGCATCAGAGGTTGTGGGTCAGAGTTCTAATTGTGATATACTAGTATAGTCTGGCAGTTGTCCAGTTTGTATATTCCGTATTATGATTATAGTTGGCCCTTGAACAACATGGATTTGACCTACACAGGTCCACTTATACATGGATTTTTTTTTCAATAAATATATACAGTGCTATAAATATATTTTCCTTATAATTTGTTAAGTAACATTTTCTTTCCTCTAGCTACTTTATTATAAGAATACAGTATAGCCGAAACCGGTTTGGCTCAGTGGATAGAGCGTCGGCCTGCGGATTGAAAGGTCCCGGGTTCGATTCCGGTCAAGGGCATGTACCTGGGTTGCAGGCATATCCCCAGTGGGAGATGTGCAGGAGGCGGCTGATCGATGTTTCTCTCTCATCGATGTTTCTGGCTCTCTATCTCTCTCCCTTCCTCTCTGTAAAAAATCAATGAAATATATATATATATAAAAAAAAGAATACAGTATATAACACACATATAAAAATGTGTTAATGGACTATTTATGTTATCTGTAAGGCTTCTGGTCAACAGTAAGCTATTAGTAGGTAAGTTTTGAGGGAATCAAAAGTTATATGCGAATTTTCAACTGCACAGGGTTGGCACCCTTAAGCCCTTGTTGTTCAAGGATCAACTGTATTGTTTTTTCCCTCTATTACCCTCCCAACCTAATTGGCTCCCTCACTTACCTTTCTCCCTTGATTCTCAGTTTCAGTGTTCTTCTCGGTCCCTCAGTCCCTACTCTTTTTTTTTTTTTAATATATTTTATTGATTTTTTACAGAGAGGAAGGGAGAGGGATAGAGAGTTAGAAACATCGATGAGAGAGAAACATCGATCAGCTGCCTCCTGCACACTCCCCACTGGGGATGTGCCCGCAACCCAGGTACATGCCCTTGACCGGAATCGAACCTGGGACCCCCAGTCCACAGGCCGACGCTCTATCCACTGAGCCAAACCGGTTTCGGCAGTCCCTACTCTTTTTCAAGTTTATCTGGACCCCCAGAAACCACATTGAGTAAAATAGTTGCATAAAGTTAAGATTAACCACAAAATTATACAAATATCAGGTATTTTTTTATTCTAGAGCCCAGTTCAGTGCCTGGAACAAGATAGACATGGAAAAAAACTCAACAGATGTTTTGGATTCTTTTTATTATTATTGAAGTTGCCTTCCAACTGTGCGGTTCTAAATCTAATTTATGTATATTTCAAACTCTAGTATTCCACCAACTCTAGTGTTTTTGAATGGAAACAGAATTTCTATTTATGCTTTAAACAGTACTTAATTCATATAGTTTGTGAACTATATTAACTTAGAACTTGAAGTTGCATTGAAACAGCTTCTAATTTACATTCACATCTATTATAAAACAGAAAACAAACCTGCATTTTAAGTATTTATTTATTTTTAATTTTTTGTTAATCTTCACCTAAGGATATTTTCCTATTGATCTTTTTTTTTTTAATATATTTTATTGATTTTTTTACAGAGAGGAAGGGAGAGAGATAGCTAGAAACATCGATGAGAGAGAAACATCAATCAGCTGCCTCCTGCACACTCCCCACTGGGGATGTGCCGGCAACCAAGGTACATGCCCTTGACCAGAATCGAACCCGGGACCTTTCAGTCCGCAGGCCGACGCTCTATCCACTGAGCCAAACCGGTTTTGGCCCTATTGATCTTTTAGAGAGAGTGGAAGAGAGAGGAAAAGACAGAGATACATCTATGTGAGAGAAACGCATGGATTGGTTGCCTTCTGCACGTGCCAGAACCAGGGTCTGGGCAGGGGAGGAGCCTTTGGTCCCCAGGCCGACACTCTATCCACTGAGCCAAATCGGCCAGGGCCAAACCTGCATTTTAATCCCAACTCTTTCTCCTTTTCTTTTGTCTGACTGGTTTGGACAGTACTTCCTTCAATAAGTCCGTATGCCCTCAGGCATTTGTAAAGCATGAGTCTACAAAAACCTGCACTGTTTATCTGATTAACAGCTCACTGAGCTGAGTTCTGAGGTTTCCAGTTAGAAAGCAAAAAAAAAAGGCGTTGAGATAATTTCTCCATCTTATTTGCCGTAAGTCAAGTCAACATGTTGAAACAAATTACAGAAATCCATATTTCAAAACATGTTTTTAACTGCTTTTTAAAGGCTTGTCTACAATTACATTTGCAGTTTTCTCAGGAAGTTCTTGACTCTACCCAGTCCTGAGCAAAATCAGCCAAACCAGTCCCCACACTCAGTGCCAGTTGTCTGCATTGCCTTATTTCTCTAATCAATTTTCTTTCATTCCACACTCCATCCTGCCATAATCTCTTAAGTAATGTGGTCTTCACTCTTCCTTCCAAGTTTACTCATCTATCTTCAAATGTCTTGAAGACACCTCATTATCCAAGACCAAGCTCATTGTCTCTTTTTTTTTTGTTTGTTTTGTTTTGTTTTTTTGTTTTGATACATTGAGTACGTTTTCTTTTTTTTTTAATTGCTTAAAGTATTACAAAGGGTATTACATATGTGTTCTTTTTTTCCCCCCCCGCCCTTGACAGTCCCCTAACCTCCCCTATCCCCCAGTGTCTTATGTCCATTGGTTATGCTTATATGCATGCATACAAGTCCTTTGGTTGATCTCTTACCCCCCTCCCTCCTGCCCCCCAACCCTCCCCGGCGCTCATTGTCTCTTTATTCTCACCTACCTTATCTACTCAAACCTCCTCTGTTCATATTTAACCAACTTTGATTAAATACCCTATGATTCACCCAAGCACAAATTTGCAAGTCATACTAGAATCTCTTTCATCTACTCCCTTTCACTATTCTATCCAATTACTCTCTAGGTGTTCCTAATTAAAATGTCTAAAATCCTCTCCAATATCTTTTGATGTTGCCTGCTAACTTGTGGCCCTGCCTCCAGATCCATGATCCTCCTGAGTATCCCTCCATTCTGATACACTAGTGAAATATAATCGTATTACTTCCTATTTTAAAATCTTTCCATGTTTTCCCCATCCCAATGGAATATAGTCCAAATTCCTTTGGCATGTTGTGGCAGATTCTGCTGACTGCCTACCCAAAAAGCCAACAATCTCTCTTTCACCTTGTTAACAGAATCCCAATTTCATTTGAGTAACTACAATACTATACTTGGTTATGTGATTAAAGAGAGCTAGGCTCCAACCCCACCCCCAGGGAAGAAACTATGGTTGGTCTAAGTCAATCATGATGGCCTGTTCTAACACCAAATATTGAACCTGGATATCTGATGCAGTTCTAACCAATGACACTGAAGGGGAGTCAGCTGTTGGAAGGAATGAGAGGAGGAGAGATGACATTTCTTGGAAAAGTTTTCTCTATCCTAAAAAGAGTATAAGTCAATACAAAGTTTACAACTATGGTGGGGGGACAGGCCTGGGAGTAACAGGAAAAACTTGGGTCCTTGATAACATCATAAAGCTGCTAAGTTAACCAATGTGGGAGCAGCCCTATGTATGGACATATTATTTGAGATGTAAATTCATCA